ACACAGCACCGCGGCTGGTACATGGCCTCGTCCAAGGCCAGTGCTGCTATTCTCGTGACGCCGCCATCATCTGGTTGGCGCATGTTGCGTCGCGACATCTCCCAGTCGAGGCATCCAACCGGCCGGAGAGATGCATTGCAGGACACCCGACAGATGCTTCACTTCTCCGACTTGCCCCTGGCACGGCAGCGCTCGCTTGCGTCCTGGGCTGGCGGCCGGCACGCGGTTGTCCCGCCGATCAACAAGACATATCTCGTAGTAGCAGGCGCAAGGGCCAACGGTGGTGTCTGCATGTGTGCACATCCCACGCTGGTGTAAGGAAGAGACGAGGGCGAGAGCCGTGGACAGCCGTGAGTGGCCGCTGCTCTCAAACAAACTTGTCGTACAGCAGCCAGTGCAAGCCCGGCAGCAAGCGGCAACGTTTGTCGACGGAACGCTGCAGGAGACGTTTCCGGCTTGTTGAGTGACGTTGGGTCGGCGGTCGAGATCTCTTTTCTGCGCCGCTTCGATACGTGCGCGCTGCACATAAGCTGCAGCGATCGATGCTAGCGTTCGCATGCAGCATCATCACACACCGCCAGGCGAGGGCCGGCGGGAAAGACAGCAGCGGGAGATGCGGGAGATGCGTGCCCTGCAGCGTTGAGCTTGCAGGAGCACCTGCATTGGCGGCGTGCTGAGATGGAGAGGGTGCCGCGCACCCGATTCGAGGGGCGATGCTGCGACAGCAGAAACAAACGGCGCCGTCGCTTCAACGAGCCCCTGGCGTCCAAGTCTTGCTAACCTGCGGCGCCTTCCGGGCGTACCTCTGTACTGCAACGGCAAGTGACTCGTTTCGATGGCAAGCTGAAGCGTCCGTGCAGAGATGCTCCTGTGGCAGGACGAATTGTTCCAAGGCCACCCGGGGCAGTGCCCCGAGGGTTGGCATGTGCTCCAGCAGTTCCTTTAAGCGCAAAATGACAGGTACGAAGCGCAAATGTGATGATGATGAGAGAGATCTGGGAACTGAGATCCAGATCCAGATCCAGATCCAGATCCCAGCAGATCTGACGGTCGCACTAGATTCCCGAGCGGCCGAAAATTGAGATCACGGACGATCCCCGCAGCCCGAGCCTGTATGCTGGGATCGTTTATTGCGCTGGGGTCGTGATTGGCCGTGGCGTCCGCCCTGGTGAGATGCGTGTGGGCTGCATTATTATTGCCGCGCGCGATGGCGATTTGCCTGGTTCTATCACACGGCTGGTGAAATTGAAGCTCTTGTCGACGGGTTCTGCTTGACTCGCCGCTGAAATTCGCGTCCTCGTACGCAAGTCAGTGGCCGCGATGGCGAAGCATGGGTCCATGCAGGAGCACGTTATCGAGGCGTTGGAAGCTCGTTCCAGCGCTGTCGCGTGGGGTTTGCGGGCGCCTTCTCGCGCTGACGGAGAATAGGCTGCGCTGCGCGACGAAAGGGGCCCCCGACAGCTCGGCTCACCGTCTGCTCGCGCTGTGCGGAAGCGACGACCGCGAAGCCTAAACAAGCGCTCCGCGCGCAGTGGTTGATCGCACCTTGGGACGTCGGCCCTTTGGCCGGTTTGGGAGGAGCGCGCCGGGCGTGGGTGCCAATGGCGGCTAGTGGCATCGACAATCCGCCGGCGATCTGCCAGCGCGTTGGACCTGTGGACCCCTGGGCTGCGCGACAGCCCGCGACAGCCTGCCACACGCACGCCGGCCACCCAGTCCCGCGCACCCAACGGTCGGTCCCGGTTGGCAGGCTGTCAGCCAGCTGGAGCGCCGCCGTTTGCCGTCGGCAGGCAGCCTGGCTTCCAGACTTTGCCGGGCATTCGCGAGCGGGCGCAGACGTCCGTCCGCAGCAGAGGGCTCCGGCGCTCGAGGCGAACCCAATACTTTGGCACAGTGCGGGCCATCCCATCGCATCCCGCCGCACACTGAGCGCGGGGCGGTCGTGCTGCTGGCTCGCGGAATATTGCTCGAAGCAGCAGCCCAGCAGCCGCCCCAGGTCGCCCATGACATAGATCCTGGGCCGTTCGCCCAGCCGGAAAAGCAATCACCGCGCCCAAAAGCCTGGTTACGCGCACGCCTGCCGCGATCGGATTGACGCTTCACCGTTCTCCGTTCCTCCCGCCCGGGATTTGGGGGGAACGGTGAGCGTGTGCGTGTCGCGCGCCCGTGACGCCTCCTCATGCCGCCTACCTAGTGCCGCCCCAGGGGAATGTGCAAGGTGCGCCCTTGCGTCGCTCGCTGCTCACTTAGATGGCGAGCCCCACGCGCCGCAACGCCAGCAAGGGCTTCCGCCCGATCCTTCGACAAGCTTACGGGCCTTTACCGCAGCGCCCTGGCGCCGGGACGCAGAGGTGTCAGTGTCCCAGAGGTATTTCAAATGCTGTGGCGGCTAGCGACGACTCTACCTACGTCTGCCATGCTGCTTGCGGACCGAAACCGCCAGCTGAGTCGTTGGGCCCGATGGGGAAGTCGTCTATTGTCGCTGCGCCGTGACGATGACGATGACAAAGGAGATGAGTAGCACGGCGGTTGCGACGACGAGCGGACAGCCTGTGCGTGTGCGTGTGCGTGTGCGTGTGCGTGCGCCGTCACCCGCTCGCATCCGGGCTGGCGGCATCGCGACCGTGACGTCGCTCTGGCGTAGCACTCGCGCGGTTGCGGTTGTTGACGCCATCCAGCGATTGTCGGGACGACCGTTGTTCCAAGGCACAGGAAAGCTGCAGCTCAGCACCTTGTGGCCCTCTCATTGTCTCAGGTGCCGCCCCGCGCGTCCAACCGGATGGCGCAGCCTGCTGGCCCATTTCTTGCAGCTCGCGTGGTACATACGGGCCTGCGGTGCCTGCGGTGCCTTCGCCTGCGCGCCGCGCTCCAGGAAAAAACAAACAAACGAGCAGTGGGCGTACATGATTGTTTGCAGGGCCGGAAATTGGAGCTGTTACACACGTCTGCCCCGGCCTGTTGACCGTCCTGGGTCCCGGTCGGTGGGCCGGTCCCCGGCTTGCAGCAGTCGACCAGGCGGTCAGGCGCAAAGGGATAAGGGCCGACTCTGGCGGCACGTAGATTGCTGTGAACGGGATATCCATATAAGCTTCGGGCCACCCTGCATCCTCGGCGCCCCGGTCTCACCATCCCCCGTTGCACCCCTGCGGCGCGAGGATGGGAGGCGGGCCTTTGCCGGCTGGCTCCAGAAAAGGAATGCCAAATCAATATTTTAGGTTTGTCGATGGGCGGGTGAAACCATGTCAGGAGGCGCGCGCGGAGCAGGTTTCGCCGGCGGGGCATGACTAAGGCGCGCCAGCGTGGCGGCCGTTGAGGGGAGCTGAGGTGGTCCCAAAGCGGGCAGGAGGGTGCGGCGGAGCGCTGCATCGAGCAATGGGGGTGCCGCACATGACGCGCTAGACGGGCTGAAAGGGGGAACGATGCGGAGGATGTGCCTTTCGTCAGGCCTGATGAGATTCCGATCCCGCGATCTCGCTGAAGACCCTGGGACACTGCGCTGGGCGAGAGCACGCTCGCCGTGCCGTTCCCCGACTAGTGCAACGGCCGCTGCTGCGGTTCCACCGAGCTGGATGACAGCCAACGCGCACGCGGCTAGCCGCTTGCCCGTTGCGGTTCGTGTGCGCGAGGGAGGGCCGCCGGCTGCACGCAGGCCAGTGCCCTGGGCTGGCACGCCGGTCGGCGCCGCCGTGCTGGGGGAGCGCGCAGCTGAGGCGGGCGGGCAGCGAGCGCTGTGCGAGCTGTGGTTGTCCAGGGCCGGGGGGCCTGGGCGATTGGCTGCCCGCAGCGGCGCGAAATGACGATGATCGCGCGGCCGCAACGGCGATGCGGCTAGCCGCTTCGGGGACGCTGATTTGGAAGCGCTGGCCGGCATGGGAAGACCCGCCAGATCGCCCCAAATCTGCACAGCAGCCAGCACCGGCAGCCGCGCCAGCACGGCGGGACGCCGCCAAGCCGCGCTCAAACGGCTGGCCCCTTTCGCGCGGCGGGCTGCGCGCCGTGGTTTCGGACGCGATGCTGCGGCCTTCGCGGCGCGCTCGCGGGCACCACGCAGCGCCCACGCAGCCCACGCCGCGCCCGCACCTCGCACGCACCTCGCACGCCTCTCCGCCTCGTCGCCTCGTCGCCGCGGCGCGCGCCCCCTGGCCGTCGCGCGCGGTGGCTCCGCCGGCGGCAGTGGCGACGGCGCGAGGGCGCCAAGGTCAGGCGCGTGGTGCGGTGCGGTGCGCTGTGGTGGGCGTCGGCAGCGCGGCGGCGGCTGGCTGACGGGCCTGACACCGTTCATTCCAGGCTGTCTCAGCATGCTGGCAGCGTCGCAAGGAGCGCGGTTTCACGGGACGGCGCAGTGCTGGGGCGCCCCCGGTGCGCGCGGCCAGCATCCATGATCCCTCCCTTCCATCACCCGCGCGCTCACCCTGGTCGCACATCTGCACATCTAACATATCTTACCCGCCGATCTGGGACCTTGGATCCACCGAGGCTGCGCCCTCCGCGCGGACCAGCGACCCAAAGGGGGCATGCTCGTTAGCTGGCCCAGCGGCTTCTGCCAAACCCACATAAGCTTGCCCGGACCCTAGAAACAGCCATCTTCCCGAACCACCGTTCAAGGCCCAGCTTGTGCAGCACGCCAACGTCGGACCCAACCAAGCCTTCATATACCCTCCGCCTCCCACCCACACCCACGGTACCCTATAGCCATCACTTGCACGCCAACCAACCCTCACCTTCCTCTGACTACCGTCATACCTCCCAGGCCTCCCGCAAGGTAATACAAGAGCCTGCCCGTTTCTCGTTTCCCGTCTGCCTCAGGCCCCACGTCCCGGCCGCGACGCCGTCCCACCATCCGCGACAACCTTCCTGAGCCCGAGTTGACCGCCTGCAACCAGAACGCCAACTGCAACCGTCCTCGCCCGGGCCGGCTTCGCTCTTAAATCGCTCCAACTGCCAGGGCCATCCGTCCCTACCTGATCGCCTCAACTCCGCCCACCTCCCCCCCCCGCACAATGGCCCCCAACGCACGCCGCGGGCCGTGGTCGCAGGCCGAGGACCAGTTCCTCCTCTCCATTGTCTCGCAGCAGGGCGCCAACAACTGGGTGCGGATATCGCAGATGCTGCGCACCCGCACCCCCAAGCAATGCCGCGAGCGCTTCCACCAGAACCTCAAGCCCACCCTCAACCACGACCCCATCACTGCCGAGGAGGGCGAGATGATCGAGCGCCTCGTCGCCGAGATGGGCAAGAAGTGGGCCGAGATCGCGCGCCAGCTCAATGGCCGCAGCGACAACGCCGTGAAGAACTGGTGGAACGGCGGCCAGAACCGGAGGAGGCGCATGTCTGAAAGGCGCCGCAGCGAGGCTCAGACCGTCTCCGTCCAGCACCACGCCGGCCACTTCCACCACCACCAGGCCCAGTACCCTCACTTCCACCACCAGTCGCATCCCAGCTACTCTCGCCCCTCTCCGCTCTCCATCCAGCCGCAACCCTACAATGCCCGCGCCTACGACACTCCCATCCCCTCGCCCTCGGGCCAGTCTGTGCTCTCCACCGAAGGCGCTCCCTCCCTCATCACCGACAGCGGCTCCGAGTCGCGGTCACCGCACTACGCCGCCTCGCCCATGGACCACCCTCTTCCCCCGCTCATCGGCAGCCGCGCCGAGCGCCGCCGCTCCAGCCTCGCCTACCTTCCGCGCACCTCCACCTTCATCAGCGACGACGACTCGCAACTGGCACCACTGCGGGCCTCTTCTGCCGACCACGGCGAGGCGGCGGCGCGCAAGCGTGAGCAGCTGCGGCTGCCCGAGCCTCCGACATTCAGCAACGGCGGATCCCCCATCTTCCGCGAGCCCAACTACAGCTCGACCGGCACCAGGCAGCTGCCCCTCCTCACGCAGCCTGTCACTTCGAGCGGCAGCATCTCGAGGAGATCGAGCCCCGTTCAGTACTCGCCTCACCGCTCCTCATTCAGCCCGCAGCATTCGCTGCCCAGCTTCAGAGAGCTGGTACAGGCCCGGGCACACAGCACGGCCGCGCTGGCACCGGCTCCTTACCTGCCGCCCATGAAGCCCATGAGCCCAATCAGCAGGCCCAACGCCGTTGCTTCCATCCTGAATTGAATGTAGCAACGCGCGAACCTCGTTTCTTTTGTCAAAACTTTCTTTTGTTAATAGCGCCCTGACTCTGTCGAGGCCACATGTGCTGCATAGCATCGGCGTTTGGTGGAGACCATTTTTATTTCCGCACATACAACAATTTACATAACACCCCTCTATCCCGTGTTTGTTTCAAAACGTCGTTTCTGCTTCCGCACATTCGCGCAATATACCAATGGCACCTCGCCTAGAAAAGGAAGGGGTTCTGTAAGGAACATATGGAAGACTTGCAAGACGAGAAGGGGTGGTGATGGCGAGAACATCTCAGCTGTCGACTATTCTGGTATTGGACGCAGCGTTGTCAATCGCACATCTCTTGGACCAACGTAATACTTTAATTTCCGCCGCATGTTTTCTTTTTCTGGTTGAAGTCTTGCACATACGATTTCTCCGTTTCACATTTACACACAAAAGGGGTGAAGCATTTCTTTATTCCCTTGCTCAACGAGTTGGATGAGACTTTGGGTGGCTATCTCTTGTTGATGGGCCATTTTAGCGGGATGTGTTTCTATTGTGAAATATAGTTACGAGTCTTTTTTGTTATCTGGGTGGCATGGTCTGCAGCGACACTTCGGTGTTGAGTTTAGTTGGGAAAGCAACATAAGCTTGCAACATCAGTCTTCGCCTTCTCACTCTATGCTCAAGCGTTTCATGTATGATGAATATCTTTGCTTATTTCTTGCAAACAGCATTATACCCTACTTAGAATACTTACATCTCCGCGTTCCCGCGGCTAATGAACACTACTACATACACTTGCCTTAGGCTGCGGCGATCTTCTGTTACCGAGCGTTACTTCTCCACTGGACCCCTTGATTCCTGCAGGATTATGTGGCCGAGAGATGCAATCAGACATTTCTTTCCCTGCATACCCCCCCTGAGTTTCGCGAACCAACGTTGTTTGAATCATTGTCCAGATTTGCCCCTTCACGGCCCTCTCCGCGAACGTGTAGGCTGAGGATCACGCTTTGCTCCTCCCTTTCGATCTCCCTGCTGCAACCTTGCACCCCGCTCATCGAGCCCTCCATCCTCGTCATGGGTGAGGAGGGAGGGGGGGGAAGGGGAGGGGGGAGGAGGGGGGCCCGTCCCAACTACCCGTCAGCACGACTGCAGGCGAGGTAATGTCTAGGGAATGGAGCGAAAGACCGAAACTACGGAGTTCGAGACCTTGTCTCTCTGCTGTCCCAGCACCGGAATTGCTCGGTCGGAAAGGCAAGGAGCTGTCGCCGGCCGGCGAACGGCTGCCGCCGTCGGCCGCCCGTCTTCGGAAGGAAAACTGTGGGACCGAAGCTGGGAGTCAACCACTGGCTCGCCGTCCAAAGTCTGCTAAATTTGTTCTGCGCTGTGTTCTTTTTTCGCATCTGCGTCTTTCTTCTTTGCCGTGACCCCCACATAGCACGCACTCCCTTCAGTCCGGACAAGGGTCGAGCGGATGCGGAGAGGGCACGAGGGGTCTGGGGCCTTCTATTTTTCGCTTCCTGTCTGTCAACGGTAACGGTCTAACAACGTCAAGGAACCATTCTTTTTGCTACCACCCTGCTTTTGTCAAAAAAAAAATAAAATGTTCTGGCCCTCATCCCTACTCCGCCAGACGGACGGTCGAGACAACAGACTCGCTCCACTCAAATCTTCATGCCCTGAAACACGCTTTCTCAAACGCCCCTAATGCATCGCTATCCGCCGCCTCTAATGCAAGGCGGTACCAAGGGGAAAGAAAAGTAGGAGTAGCGAAAAGGGGGGGAAAGCTTTGGCGAATTCTTTCGTCCTCCGATCTCTGGACCAAGTGCACAAGAGTCGCATCGCTCCGTCAGCCCTTTCGGAGCTGGCTCCCGCTTCATCATCATGATGTGCATATGCTTGTTGCTACTACCGCCGACCACGACTCTACAGCGCCCGACTAAAAAAATCCTTCCTCGATATGTACCCCTTTATTGTTTGACTCGTTTAGTTCAATCCCACCATCTAGATAGCGGGGGCCGCTACGTAAAATCTTCCGTAGCTGACATCAAAAAAAAGAAAAAGAAAAGCCCAAATGACTACTTACGAGCCAGCATCACGCGAGTGCTGATACTGCAGGGCCGGGCGTTTACGAATCCACGCGCAGGTGACTAGGGCCCAGAAGGGCGTTGCATTAGCAAGTGATAGACGAGTTCGCGCTTCTGCTTCCTGTTGCCGTCATCGACGGTTACCCATTGGATCTCGCTTGCCGTCGCGTCGGCTGAACTCCGAGGGCGAAAGCAGGCTCGATTCGGGACGAAGGATCGTGAAGAGGCTGACCCCATCGGCTCCGCCCATTTGCTCTTTCGAGCACTTTTTTCGATAGCGCCAAACACACACGACTTTTTACAGCCTTTGGGGTGATGAGATTATCGAGAGACTCTCTCCCGACGTAACAGCCGGGGCAAGGCGGAGCGCTCAGCCACTGCATCCTTCTTGACCCCGAGTCCCGAGTGCGCAACAATGAGCCGAGCAGCTGAGGCTTGCGGCAGGGACGCTGATTGAGAGCCTTTTGTTCCGCATGGAGCAAGAGGCGCTCGCAAGCGCCAGGATAGTCTATCTAAGGCCAGGCAAAGCGGGAAAAAGGTATACCGAGCCCCGTTGGGCGTGCAGCCATCGGCGCGGCCGCTAACCCGCATGATCACTTGACGGTACCTCAAGTGGCTGGGGCTGACATTACGTGCTGGATGGGGAAAACATGGCACTGACAATCAGGCTGGTTCAGGCGTGGCGCAAGAGCAACGGTGGCAGCCAGGAAGCAACGGCGCCGTCGTTGATGTGATGAGAGGCGAGAGGTCACTTGCATAAAGGCGCGGGCAGCGAAGTGCTATCCGCATCCTCTGCCAGCGTGGAACCTGCATGAGCAAGGCCGCAATCGTCCGGAAGGAAGGGGCAAGGGCATGACGGGGGGCTGACAAATGGCTAGGCCTCCATCACCGGCACGACCTTGCAAGCAAAACGGTCGGGCGATCCGTGGGCCGGGGGATGACTGGTGGATGATGCAGCAGCGTTGCTGGCGGCCAGGCCAGGGAGTGATGATGAGGAGCGAGCGGGGCTGGCCTCTCCCTCGATAGCATGATAGGGTGATCGAGAGCCCAGCGGCTGCCAGCTCAGCTAGTTCAGTTCAGCCCAGGCAGACGACGACGAAAGCAGAGCGCAGCGCAGCGCAGCGCGGGGCGAGAGGAGAAGGCCGCGACCCAGCGACGTGGGCAGCCAGAACAATGGCGGCAGATTGGCACGCCTGCCGCAGACCCCCAGGAGGCAGAAACGGGAGCGCGCAGCGAGTGGCTCGTGGTGGCGCGCGGATTTAACTTTGGACGGCGACGCTGCTGGAGCCGGCGGACTGGAAATTGCTCTGTGACCGTTGCTCGCGTGCAGCGAAGGAGAAAAAGGTGCGACGATCGCGGATAACGCGAGCCGGGCAGGCCGTAGAGCTAGGCTGGTGAGTGGGTGGACGCTGGGCGCAGGGTGGGTCAGCTGGAAGCGGGCGCCGGTGGTGTGGCCGTGGGTGTGGGGGGGAATTGGCGGGCATGTCGTTTCGTTTGGCTTTCGGGCTGACGCTGATGATGCTCTCCCTGGAGGCCGCGCGAGGCCCTGTGCTGGCACGCTGATTTGCCCGCAACGGGCAGCCGACGAGAGCGGCTCAGGGGTGGAGCAGGTTCGTCGGGCAGGGCACGTTGCGGTGAGTGACGCCGACTGCCGGAGCGTTGGTGGTGCGCTGCTCGGTCATGAAGGATGCACCGCCGGCCACGAGGAGGCGCACGCACGATCGATGCGTATGGGGGGACGTTGCTGCTCTGGCGCGCTGACGGCGGCGCCCGCGGCACTCACCGGTCGGAATGTTCCTGGCAGCCGCCACAGCGTGCGGCAGTCGCCGAGCTGCGGGCGCCGTGAGGATGTTGCAGCATCGTGCGGCCGCGGGTGGAGGGGCAGCGGTTGCGGTGGTGGTGGAGGCTGGAGGCTGGCGGGCAGCTGCTGAGGCCCGAGGGCGTTGGGGGATGTGAGGTGAGCCATGTGCGATCGGCGCCTAACCTCGACTTCCCCTTCCAGCGGCGCCTGGCTGCGACTTCTGAGCTGAACAAACGTCACGCCCCCTGCCCGCCCACCCACCAGACCCGCCCCGTCGAGCCCCCGTCGCCCCGTTCAACGCTCATCGTCGGCCCCCAACCTGCCGATCGCCGCGCGCGCTGCAGACCATTTCTTGGCCTGCTCCGGCCGAGCCGCTGGACCGCGGCCGGCGCGCCGTCGGTAGGAGCCTGCGCACCTCTCCTGCCTGTGCTTCACCCGTTCTCCGCCAGCAACCTCTGTTCAATGTCCCGCCAGCCAATAACCGCCGCCGCCCCCCATGTCGAGTCAGTACGAACCCTCCGAAGCCGCCGAGCCCGCCCAGCCGTGGAGCATAGCGCTGCTGGTGAGTGCCTATCTCGATATATCTCATTTCAACCCTCGCTGTCTGCTTCCAAATCCCCATCACGCGGCCGAGCCTCCCACTGATCGTCGTCGCAGTCTCAGCGAGACCTTGCGCTTGCCGTCCCCATCAATTACGTGACCCTGCCGGCCGTATCCCTTACCGAGGCCTGCTTCGCCCAGAGACAGTACGATGACGACGCCGCGCGGCGGTGCCTCTCCAATCTGCTGGCCGTCGGCTTCAGGCGTTTAACCGTCGACCTTTATTGGGATGCTGGCCGCGGCTTTTGGAGTCTCTGCCCGGAGCAAATCCCCGAGTCCGCCTCTAACGCCGATGATGCTACTCTGGGCATCATCTCCTCGACGACCGACGCCTCGCTGTCCTCGGTGGCTCTGAATACGGGCAGTCTACAGGCGCGGCAGGCTACAGCATTGTCCGGCTCCGCCTTGCGCTCTGCGAGTCGATCCGTGTCCAGTACCCGCTCTGTGTCCGCATCCAGTACGCGGGCAAGCCCGACCGGGCAGGCGCAAGCAAGCGGCGTGTTCCAAGCCAACTCGTACACGTGCTCGGCTTCATTGAACGTCTCGACGATTTCTTCACTCATTGCTGACTATCTCGACGACACCGCGGATACCATCCATGCTTCGGTCATCTACCTAATCTTCAATATCCACGCTGCGGCATCCAATTCTAGCTCCACGGCGCCTGCGGCTTCGCAACTGCCTTCGGCGAACACCACTCTCTCTAATGTTCTGAGTGCTGACTTAGCTTCCTTTCTGTACACCCCAGCACGACTGCGGCAAGACCGTGTAAATCTTAATGAGACTTGGTTCGGCTATGATGTTGCGTCAGACCAGACGCTAGCCCCTGCATTGAGATATCTGGACATTGTTAGAGATGCCTATGGCACAATGTCTACTGTTACTGGATGGCCCGGTGAGGGCCTCCTTGCATTCGGTCCCGACCACCTTCGTCTGTTAACAGCCTTCGGCCAGATCGATCCGCAGATGGGAGCTTATGACACCCGAGCTGATGATGCAATCCTCTTTCCTGAAGGGACTTTCCAATCGATCCGAAATGTTACTTTGAGCGATTCGGGCAACGTCACCAATGGCTGCTTCTTTGACCAAAACGTGGACACTCTGACGGACTCGACGAATTCGACTTGGGCAACGTCTCCGAACTTTCCGGCCCTGGGCCTTGCGCCTGCACAGTACTATACATCTTCACCGTCTGTCTCTAATATCACTGCATGCGGCATTAGCCCGCTACTTAATCAGTCGCTGTCCGAAACAGCAGATGTTTCATACGCGCCTTATCAGGCCATGGCCTACAGTTCGATCTGGAGCTGGGCAGACAACGAGCCACGAAACGTAACGAACAACGTCGATAACGCTGTGTATCTCCGTTGCGCAACGATGCGAGCTTCCACTCACGGCCGTTGGGTGCTCACCGACTGTACTGAGCGACATTATGCGGCGTGCCGCGTCAATGGCGACGCACCGTTTCAATGGCGCATCAGCGACCCAGCAGACAGCTACACCGACTCGGACTCGATTTGCCCAGAGGACACTGCGTTTGATGCACCACGCACTGCGCTCGAAAATTCCTATCTTTTTGCAGCATTGCAAGCGCGGGCTCGCGAACACCCGGATGACTTCGATGATGACGCCACCGTGTGGGTGAACTTCAACAGTCTGCAAGTGACGGACTGCTGGGTCGTTGGAGTCGGTGAAAGCTGCCCGTACGACCTGACCTCCAAACAGGATGAAAACCGACTGGTGATCGTACCGACAGTGGCGGCAGTCATTGTCTTCGTCTGCGCTGTGCTGACCGTGTTCGTAAAATGCGCTGGAAACAGACGATCGAGTAGGAAGACCCGAAAGCGTCGGCTGCAAGAGGGATGGGAGTATGAGGGCGTACCCTCGTGAGCTAGTTACGAAAGGGTTCAGCAGCAGCAGCAGCAGCAGCATGGAAAACTCGGTCGAATGCAACGTGGCATCGAAAAGCCCTATCCGTTGACCGGTCTTCTCGTTTTGCATGCATTTTCAAGGGGATTCCACCTCCACCGCCACGAGAGCAAGGAGAAGACCGACGCCGACACCGTCTGGATTTTTCGGCCCTTTTGCCCGGGTTGCACTACTCCTACACCAGTGCCGACGGAATGTGGCGTCGCACACGTTTTCCGACGTCTTTAGCTGGAGGCGCTTGCGGAGCATGGCAGATGCATAGACTCTTTCACCGGTCAAACGACAGCATGGATGGGCCTGGGAGGGCTGGGACTACGTGTGAAGTTGGGTGCCCGTAGTGATTCGTGATTCCTGGCTTCTGGTTTGTTTGCGTTGGACTTGCAGTGTGCCTGGTGGGACACATGGTTGGTGAAACCACACATTCGGCAGACGGGCATCGGGAAGGGAGTCGTTTGGCCAGCCCGATACGCCAATTATCGGGAGGCGTTTGGCAAGGCGACAGCATACAGCCGACGGCACGACGGGAACCGTTAGCCGTTCGATCCCGGTGTCCTGTGTCTCGGAAGGATGCCGCAGCATTTGGGCCCATGGTAACGTTAACATTCCCGAGAGAATTGCAGGCCCCTGCAATTAATCACTGGCTGTCTGGGTCTGGTGGAGACGGGAGTGGATCTGGTGTAACTCGAGGGAGCACGGCAGCGGGCGAAGATGGCCGTTCAATGGCTGACAGGGCGTGGGGCTAAGATTCAGAGTTCTGTACTGTGTACTACAACAGCTGCGTACCATGGCCAATGAGGCTGACGGCATCCCTACCTAGTATGTATGTATGTCTGTGGCTAGCGGTTTGATGTGCGGCGGTGCCCTTAAGACAAAGGAAAAAGTAGGATCACTGAGGCCCAGTACCTGCATGGCAAGAATCAATAGGCCTCGCCTCGTCTATTGCGCTCTACTTCCTTTTGCTGGGTGGTCTGGACGAGCTACGCCATGCAGCAATCCTGCCCTACGATGGCGTGCGTGGAGGGTGGGCCCTGGCTCTGGCCTTTTTTTTTTTTTATCTTATCGCAGACAGTCGGCCAACATATCCGACGTCACCCTGCGAAACGACTCGCAACACCAAAAAGCAAGTCCGCAGCCCGACATCCCCCTAGGAAACGCCCCTTGCGCCGTGAACGCCGCTGCAGCACGCCTCCAAGGAGCATCTCCACGTAATGCTGTACGGCTGACGTCCAATTGATCGACCCAATACGCCACGCCACCTATCCGTCCTGCCAATGCCAGTGCCAATGTTTGGCCCCGCATCCGCGGCAACTCGCCGCCGCCTCCCGTTCCTGTTGTGCTCGCGTCGGGCTTTCTCGACCAGCACGCCGCTGCACGCCGACTTCACCCATGCTGTCATCGGTGGAGGCGCGGTCGGCCTGGCCATTGCCCGGCGGCTGCAGCAAAAGGATGGTGTGTCAACCGTGCTGATCGAGAGACATGGCTCCGTGGGTACGGAGACGAGCAGTCGCAATTCAGAGGTAGGGATTAAGGCCTTCCAATACTTGGGCTGAGATGCAGCAGTACGACCTCCCTCATTCTATCCTCTGGACAGCGGGATATCGGAATGCTTTTTGAGAGACATCGATGTTAACGCGTTGCCGGCAGGTTATCCATGCAGGCCTCTACTATGGCCCAGACACACTGAAGACCAAGCTGTGCGTCAAGGGCAAGGAGATGATGTATGATCTGTGCAAGCGCATGGCCATCCCGCATAACAACTGCGGCAAGTGGGTTGTCGCTCAGGACGAGGGGCAGTTGCAGCAGATTGAGAAGACCCACGAGCACTGCCGGGCCATCGGCGTGCCCACCCATTTCCTTAGCAAGGAAGATGCCAAGCGCCAGGAGCCTGACGTTCAGGCAAAGGCGGGTATTCTCGTCAGTCCGACCACGGGTATAGTCGACTCGCACTCGTTGATGCAGTTCCTGGAGGGCGACTTCGAGGACGCCGGCGGAATCTGCGCCTTCGCGTCGCCCGTGACTCGAGTCACCCCGCTCTCTGGCAGCGGCCACAGCGCCTCTGGTTCTGCCGGCTGGGAGATCACGACTGCGACGCCCGAGGGCGAGGAGAGCAGCATCACGGCCGAAGTCCTGATCAACTCCGCCGGCCTCAATGCCATTGCCCTCTCGAACTCGATTCTCCCCCCCGAGCGCCATCTCGTCCCCGCTTACTGCAAGGGATCCTATTTCTCTTACTCGGCCTCCCACCCTAGGCCCAAGGTCCTCGTCTACCCTGCACCGCGCCCCGGCCTCGGCGGCCTGGGCACCCACTTGACGCTTGACATGGGCGGCCGCATCCGCTTTGGCCCAGACGTCGAGTGGGTAGACGATCCGACGGACCTCCAGGTGTCGGATAAGAACCTTGTTGCTGCGCTGGAAGATATTCGGCTGTATCTACCCGGCATCGACAAGGGCGCCATCGGCCTGGACTATGCGGGCATGCGACCGAAGCTGGGGAGGGCAGGTGTGTCGCAAATAGGCGGGAAGGGTGGGTTTCAGGATTTTTATATCAAAAAGGAACAGGGCTTTGAGGGATTTGTCAATCTGTTGGGCATCGAGAGCCCTGGACTGACAAGCTGCTTGGCGATCGGAGAGGAGGTGTTCGACATTCTTTACCGTCGATGACGGATGTTGAAATAGAGAAAGAAGCCACGGGCCACGTGAATACAAAGCAGCTTCCCTTCTGGGACACGCATAAACAAATGGTCTTGATTGGCTGAGATGAGTTGCTCGGGGTAAGCGTGGTTCGTGAACCTGGGTTCACGTGCACTCGAATAGTCAAGCGCGAGAGCGCCGAGTCGCTTCCCATGGAACCCAGCGCGGTCTGCGGAGAACGGAAGTTGTTGGCGGCGAGGCAGGCGCAGAAGTTGTTGCCCCTCGCTTAGAGGGCACCAGCGGGAGCCCGATAACGCCGACGTCACTCCCGCTCCCGCTCAAGGGAAACGCGCTTGACTTTCCATTGCCTCACTGCAGGTACGCAGTAACGCCGAACCCGTCTACAAGCCTGCAGCTTCCGAGAGACTCCAGGAAAACACCACACGCCCTGCGCCCGCAACCGTCACCTCTTCCTATGCTGCTGGACCTACCATCTCGTCGCACCCACTTTTTCGCCCTTCGCTGACCTGGCCTTCACCCCGCCGCGAACATCGTGATCTACCTGTAGCGCAGCTCCACCATGGAGCGCCATCGCAAGCGTACGCCCCATCGAGCTCACCCGCATATGCGCTTCGGACGCTGACAGCAGTAGGCGAGCTTCGCGAGCTCAACACCAAGGCCTGGGCGGGAGAGAAAGGTACGCCAATGCTCCGCAGATATCTCGGGATCCTTGCCCCCAACCACCGCGCACCACGCATGCTGACGGGAAATTGTGCTCTCTTCTCTCGCAGATGTCTTCCCCGTCCAAGGCTCGCTCGACTCGTCCATGAAGAAGAACACGGCCTTCATCAAGCGGCTGCGCACGGCCATGACGGGCGCATCCAAGGACACGTTCGTGTCCGAGGTGCGGTCACTGTCGCTGCACAAATACCTCTCGGAGATCATCTCGGCATGCTACGAGGGGCTGACGAAGCTCAAGACGCCGGGCGACATCGCCACCGGCGTCGAGGTCATCAGCGCGCTGCACCAGCGCTTCGGCCCGGCCGAGTTCACCGGATACATTGGGTGGCACATCGGCCGCGGCCTGGCGACGCCGGACAAGGGCCACCTGAAGGCGCTGCCGCAGGACGTGCGCGAGCGCGAGGAGAAGGAGCGCCTGGCCCGCCAGCGCGTGTTGCTGCGTGTGGCGACGGAGTTGTGGTTGGTGGGCGTGCTGAGGAGCTTGGACGACGTCGTCCGGCCCGAGGAGGCGTCGAAAAACAAAGAGAACCTGAAGGGGGCAGAGGGCTTACCGAAGAGCAAGAGCGCTACCAATGGCGCCCGCGCGGACAATGCGGATGCGGAGCCCTTCCCGTTGGAGGTGCTGAAGGATATGCTGGGACACGACCGGGAGCACATCAACCTACCGCTGGTGGTCATCTTCGTGAAGAGCTTCTCGTGGGATGTCCTAGGAACCAAGTCTGTGTCGTCTGAGGGTAGGAAAACTGTCAATGAAGATGGCGCCATAAGTGCTGCTGGCGGCAAGACCGACGAGCCAGCGGAGGAGGATGAAGAAGATTCCGAGGACCCGCCGATCACTTCCCCGGAGTTGCGCCAGCGCTTCAAAAATGTCCTCAACCGGTACTTTGAGGATGTAAAGGCCCACCTCGTTCGTGATCAGGAGAAGCTTGTCAACCAAGGTCGCCGCAATGCTGAGGCATACGTCAAATCCGGGGAGGTGTTCGAGGACCGCCAGGCGAACTATGAGAAGCAAGTCAAAGCGCAGGACAAGCTTTTGGGAAATGCGCAGGTTTTGGCAGATGCTGTAGGTGCTGAGATGCCGGATCTGAAAGAGAAGGACACATCCACCAACTCTGGTGATGGTAGCATCGGCTTGGTAAAGACCGGTGAATATCTTCGGGGCCAAGGAGAGGGACCCGGAATCTGGGAGGATGAAGAAGAGCGCCGTTTCTACGAGAACCTGATCGACTTGAAGGACCGTGTTCCTGGAATTCTTTTGGAGGACGGCAAGAAGAAGAAGGGCGATGGAGATGATCAAGTTGGAAAGCGGGTTGAGCCTGACAACAAGGAAGAGGCGGCAGTGCCTGCGGATGCAAAGGCCGCTGAAGGCGAGGACCAGTCCACAGCCATTGCTAACAAATCCGTTGGTGCCCAGGTTGACGCATTGCTAGCTCGCCTGCCTGAGTTCGTCAACAAGGACCAGGTGGACGAGATGGCTATTGAGTTCTGTTTCCTCAATTCAAAGGCGTCAAGGAACCGCTTGATCAAGGCCGTGTCGGACATCCCGAAGGGACGCACGGATCTGCTTCCTCTCTACGCGAGACTCGTTGCAACGCTTGGGAAATACATGTCTGATGTCATCCAAGGAATCGTTGCATACTTGGATGACGAGTTCCGCAGTCTACAGCGTCGCAAGCAGAAGGATTTCTTGGGACAGGTCCGCATGATCAACGTTCGCTATCTCGCGGAGCTGACAAAGTTTGGCGCCGTTCCGGAGCATGTCATCTTCCATTGTCTCAAGGTCAGCCTGGACGATTTCTCCCGGATGAACATCGAAATCATATGCAACCTGCTGGAAAATTGCGGGCGCTATCTTCTGCGGAACCCTGAAACCTCACCGCGCATGGCCTCATTCCTCGAGACTTTGCAGCGAAAGAAGACTGCTTCTCACCTTGGTCAGCAGGAGCGCATGCTCATCGAGAACGCAATGTACTATGTCAACCCCCCGGAGCGTGCAGCCATCGAACAAAAGGAGAGGACACCACTTGAACTCTTCATTCGCAAGCTGATCTACCTTGACTTGACGAAGAGAAACCTTGATAAGGTCGTCAAGCAGATCCGTAAGCTTCACTGGGAGGAAGAAGAGGTCGTTTGCATGTTGCACAAGATCTTCACCAAGCCTGGAAGGATCAAGTACAGCAACGTTCACCTGCTTGCCGTGATTCTCGGCTCGTTGAACAGGCATCATCAGGACTTTTGCATTTCTGTCATCGACGACTTGCTCGAGAACATCACGCTTGGGCTAGAGCTAAACGACTTCAAGTTCAACCAACGTCGGGTTGCTGAGGTGAAGTATCTCGGCGAACTCTACATTTACAGGATGGTGGACTCGCCTGTCATTTTCGACACCTTGTACAAATTGGTGACCTTCGGATACGAGGGAGGTACGCCGAGGCCCGGATCGATCAACCCCCTGGACCCTCCGGACGACTTCTTTCGCATTCGCCTTGTGTGCAACCTGCTCGAGACCTGCGGAATGTACTACGATAAGGGCCAAGCCAAGAAGAAGCTCGATTTCTTCCTGACGTTTTTCCAAGTATGTAAACCACTGGCGTTGGAGATATCTCGCTGATGAAGACAGTACTACATCAAAACCAAGGACCCACTGCCCATGGATATCGAATTCATGGTGCAAGATGCATACGCCCTGACGCGCCCGCAATGGAAACTTGCGACTACTCTTGAGGAGGCTGGGAATACTTTCGCGGAGGCTGTCAAGGCCAACTATCAGCTGCCACAACCTAGCGGGGACCAAGAAGACCAAGACGACGAATCAGGTGCTGAGGACGGAGACGAGGGTGATGGCGGCGACGATGACGAGCTGCAAGCTCGGGAAAGAAATGACGCCTCTTCCGGCGAAGATGCTGATGTCCGTACCCTCCCGACCTTCTTGAGCTATGCACTCTCTTTACTAACGAATGTGCAGACACCCGGTGAAGAGGACCAGGATTCGAGTGACTCCGATTCCGAGGAGGAAGAGGAACACATTGTCGTCACTCGTCCAGAAGATGAGAGAGACCCTGAGGCGGATGCAGATTTTGATCGTGAACTGGCGAAGATGATGGCTGAAAGTCTAGATTCCCGCAAATTCGAGCGCAAGCCCATGTTCGATGTGCCGCTTCCCATGAAGCGCAACCGCGAAGCGCCCGCCCCGTCCGAGGAGAACGCCGAACAACAACGCGCAGAAGCCGCCGCGGCGCCGACCATGAAGTTCGCCCTTTTGAGCAAGAGGGGCAACAAGCAACAGGTTTGCTTTTCGCAGCGTTGCTTTTGGTTGTTGAATGTATGCTAACCCGATCTTCTCTTGAATCCGCAGACCAAGGCCATCGACCTGCCTGCAGACTCGACCTTCGCCGTTGCTATGCGCACACAACAGGAGGCTGAACGTGCTGAACAGCAGCGCATCAAGAACCTGGTCTTGAACTACGATCTCCGGGACGAGAACGAATCAGATGGTGATACCAACTTTCCCTTGACACCCAACCTCAACAAGCGGCAGCATACTCTTTTTCAGCAGCGGCGAGGAAGCCGGCGGAGCAACAAGTCAAGTTCGCAAAGCGGCAACCGCTTTCTTGCTTCATCCCGCCCTAACAACACTGGCTCGACCAACACTCAGCAGAGCAACAAGAACGGCAATGTTAACGTCTATGATAACACGACAGGTGGCCTCGAGAAACAACACAACCCGTACAATGTCCCGCGCATCGACAAGGCAAGCAACAATCGAAGCACACAGCGTGCGAGGAAGCTACAACTGAGTGACGTTGACTGGTATGACAACCAAACAACCAATCCCAACACCCAACAGCGCAAGAACACTGCAGCCCCCAATGGTCACGGCATTTGGAAGAATGGCCAGCCAAGGAAGACGACGGCTTGATGGAATCAATGCCGATCAGCGAAAGAGACAACACAACAGTCAATAGAACAACAGTATCGGCTAACTTTTGGGGAACCGTCGTGCTCCTCGTCATAGGACTTGATCTTCTTTTCCCGCCTTGACGCTTTACTTCCCGCGAAACCGAATCGACAATGAGAAATATCGATGGAATTCGATAACGATCAGCAGGCCTTCCAGGCAGTGTAAGTCTTGACCGGCAAGCATTGTAGACAGCGAGGCAGGCCGAACGAAGAGGGAAAGACGGAGAAGGAGAGATGCAAAAGCCGGGACGTCTCCCTAGGCTTAATTGCCCATCCCTGGCCTTAGCAGAAGGAAGGGGTGGGAAAGATCCAGTGCAGAGGAACAGCCGGGGCAAAGCAACAGGGGACTACTTTCTTTTATCCCGGGCCGCTTCCGCTCCCGGCTATTGAGGCGCCTGCTTTTCCCGTCCCGCCCCCTGCTAGCATGCTTACATGCATGTTATGCACCTAGGCCTGTTCTTCGGCGGCCGGTCGGCGAGATTGCGGTGCTTTGGCTTGGAACCAGCTTACTGAGGCTGGCCAGAGGGTAGGAAGAAAAATGAGAGAGAGAGGAACACGGGCTGCCGTAATGTGTTGCTTTTCTCTCGCCATGGCTCGGCTTTCGTTGCGGGTGATAGTTTTACAGATTGCTGCCGGGTGCTTTTTTATTAATTCAGTATTCTCTTCGGGTAGTTCCTTGGCCACCTTTCCCGGTTATCGTTAGTCTCTGCGACGCTTCCCTTTCCCTTTCCCGGGTACGAGATATTGCCACTCACTTCGTTTCCCCTTCCCTTCTCGGCCGCGGAGCATCCATCAATCGCGGGCCTCGAGGATAGTAATATGATTCGCGTGGGCTTGCGTATGTCCCGCTCGCCCTGTCTGTCTGCCTTTGCTTTACCGAAACCGAGGCACGGATCCGCATACACGTTATTTCTTGTTCAACTCTCCGCGGTTGCTTGCTTGCTTGCTACTATCTACGGAGTCGGGCCGCGCGATTCATCAATCCTTTCAAACCTTCTTGTTTCCTTGATTTTTTTTTTGTTTCCCCACCCCCCTGCCTCTTCCTTCTCCATCCTCCGACTCTCCACCCCCTTTTTTTTTTCTCTCCTTCTTCCTTGTTTCTCATCCACTCAATTACCGCCGTTGGCGCCCTTCTGTGAAGATGTTGCCAAGGGCGGTCGCGTGAGCGATGTGTATTTCGTGCAGGCGGTCAGCAATCCGTTAGCGCGCGTGATGCTACTAGCAACGGCGGCGCTGCATGACCGTTTGACCGGTGGACTGGCGCGTGTGTGTGTGCATTGGGCGATGGAACGATGGCGACGGCCGGCCGTTGGCTGGGATGTTTCGATGCCAGTGGAGGTGGGTAGGTAGGTAGGTAGGTAGGTAACCATGTTGTCCATCGTTGTGGGTCGTGGGATTTCGTTGTTGGCGTTGTTGTTGTTGTTGTTGTCTTCGTCTGTCTTGCCCTTTTTCTTTTTTTTTTTTGGATGCCTGCCCGCCCGCCCGCCCTTTTTGCCCTTCTATCGTTTGATGCCTGCCCTCCCTCCCCTTCTTGCTTACCTGCCCCCTCCCCCCGGCCTTGCTTTGGGTGTAGGGATTAGGATGGTAGGGCAGGGTAGAGCAGGGCAGGGTGTTTGTGTGCCTTGTTCATCCGTGCGTGCTTTGGGGGTCGGTGTGGTGGATTGACTGGATGATGGACAAGCAGGGTTTACATTTGTCATGTGGAATTTGTCCGTGTCTTATGTCCGCGTGTGTGTGAATGGAGGAGGGAAGAATATGACGTTTGATGAAGCGCCTTCCCTTCCTTCTTTTTTTTTTTTGGACTTGTCTGTTTCATGTTTTGCCTCAGTGTGATCTCGACACCTTTGAAATGGTGGCTGCTTGAGAGATGTGGTATGGTAGACGGCTGGCTGCCTGTAATAGTGTCTGGGGACGTAATACTACTGCTGTGTTGAGGTTGAGAAAGATTTGAGACTCGATTCGAAGCGGAATTCGAGTTGAACACCAGTGCTCGACCTTCCATATACTGGCTGTTATATGCTGGGCGCGCGCATGGGTGTGAGACGCTGTGGGTCTGGAAAGCTTATTGAGAGGCGGTCGATGATGTAAACGCGAACAGCACGAATCCTCATTGAATGACTTATTACGGTTCAGCGACGACAACCCTGCAAGTCATATCTCGAGCTGGTGCTTGGTGATGACACTGCAGGTCATCGGTGATTGGAAACATCTTAAAGCGGACGGTATGCTTTATTGGTCGGGGTGTACATTCGAGATATCGTGTACTCTTCGTGGACCAAATGGTCAGAAAATGACAAGTGGAATGTCCGTGGGACGTCAGGCACAGTATATTGGTGCTCGAAGAAACAAGGTTGCTTTAGTGTACCGTGATCAGATGGGGCTAGATCGATGTCCGTGTCGGTGTTTTTGTAAAGTCAAGTTTGACGAGCTCCAGAAACGGTGCGTATGTCTTCTGGATTATTTGTCTGCCTCTGACGGCTGCTGCCTGTATAGAGGAGTTCTGGGTGCAGCGAAGTTTAAGCATGATGAATGAAGAAAGCTGTTTGGGCCGATCGCCAGGTTGCAGATGACCTGTCACTCGCGATCGGGCCAAGGGGGCGGCGCGGAAAAGCTTTGGCATTTCTCTGGGCCTTTTCGCACGTGGGGCCGTTTAGGATCTCGAGCACGTGGCTAGGGGAGTGTGGATCGGCGGCATATGAGTGGCGGACGCAGCCCTTGGGTTAGTAGTACAATCCACGGCTTATAGCCCCGCCGCGTGACGAGGCGTGGTCTCGGGCCGCAGTCGATGAAAGCACCTGTTGGATCGTGTGGGATTCGTGTAGCGTGAAGGAGATGTGATTGGCGGCACCCGCACCTAATTCCCGTGGCGGCGCCCTTGGCCAACCCGGAGGTTGCATGCAGGGCCATCTCATCGGGACCGATCAGGGTTGGGACGTTGGGACCGGGTTTGGTAGCTGTCGATCGCCTCGCGGCGCGTTGTCCGTTTTGTCAATGCGATGAGGCCGTCGGTCTGGCTGCTAGCCTGCAAGCAGTACCACTAATCCATCATGTATACCTTTTTGGGACCATAGCCGAAGGGCATAGACGGCCGGGGCCTTGGACTTGCAGATCAGACCCGTACAGCATGCTGGAATGCCGAAGAGTGCCGGCCGGGTGCGGCAATCGGGTGCGTACGGTTCGGAGGCAGTGGCCCTGAGATGAGGTGAGATGCCACATGCACTCAGGTAGGGATCCAGCCACCTGGACGGGAGGACGTGCGGAAAGCCTCAACCGGGGGCACGGTCCAGTGCCACATGGCTGAGTGGGACGTCGATCGAGGGGCAGCACCCGAAATTTTATTAAAGCCTCCTCGAACTCCTCTCCTTGGCACTCTGGCGCGTCCGGGTCCAAGTCCAAGCACGACACACTGCCATGGAACAGCTCTGATATCAACACCGTGGCTGCATGTTAGGTAATTCTCCGCCAGCCGTCGTCCTGTCCAGCAGCTTACAGCCCCAGTCTCCGCGTTTCCAACCTCTTGCGTCGAGCATGGGTCCATCGCTATTAGGCGTTTCCCGAGAAGTACGAGACCTGATCTGGGAATCCTGTCTCACGACCCCCCGCTCGCCTCCACCTCTGCCGGCCGGGGACAGGACGGACAATCCGGAATGGGAGCAGCGCTACTTCTTCTGCGCCAACGAGGACGAGTGCATGATAGGCTATCCGCCCCGAACGCCGCACATAGAATGCATACCGTTGCTGCAGACGAGCCGCCAGATCAACGCCGAGATACATGAGACCATAGCCCGGCTCTACACCCAACGCCGCATGGACTGCAACCTCCAGTTGACCATCTACCGGGAAAAGTACTTCCTGCTGGACTGGCTCTGCCTGCCCGTCAACTCGCTGCACTACGACGACTGGAAGGTCAACTTTCGGCTGGTGGAGCCGCCCGTGTGGCGAGTGGACAAAGAAAGCGGCGAGCCCGAGCAGTCGATGCTGGAGACGTTCCATCCGGACCGCTACCCCCGCGTGCTGTGGTGCTACTTCTACATCCTGCAGCGCTTCCTCGAGCGCGGCCCGGGCTTCAGGAGCCACCCCGAGTTCCACATCACGCAGGCGCCGCCCAAGACGCGCAGTCTGCGGCGGCTGATCGTCGACATCAGCACCAAGGTGCACCTTACCTCATCCTCGCCGCCGACGGCGCTGCCGCAGAAACAGTACCGGGGCGTCGGGCGGCACAGCGGCCGGCTGAACCGCAGGCCGCGGGGGTTCGACGAATGGCACGCCTTCTACACGGGCGGCATCATCGACCCCGCCTACTACGCCGAGCAGGCGCGGTTCCTGACCGAAGAGTGGATCTTCAGCAGCAAGCTGCAGTCGCAGGCGCGCATGGCGTTTGAGAGCTACGAGCGCATCCAGATGCGGATGGACGGGAGAGCGGTGCCGGGCGCCGAGTGGGACCTGCGCACGCTGACGGGGTCGGCGTACGAGTGCCCCAATGGCGTGAGGTGCGCGGTGCTCGACCACAACACCGGCATGACGGTCCAGAAGCTGTACGGGTGTCTGGTGGACCCCGAAGTGGTGAGGAAACGGGAATACGAGGCCCTGGCGACCGAGAGAGAAGGGAGGGCGGCCGGCGGCGCAGGCGACGTCAGCGAAGCGGGTGCTGGAAGGGGAAGGATGAGATAACAGGAGGAATCGAAAAGCTTGACCGGATCGGCGCCCCACATGCTGCTTCTGGCGGTGCCTGGCCAAAGCCAGTCGGGATTGCAGAGGTCCTGGGCAGTCTTCACGCAGATCCGCGGCAGAGGTTGAGGGTGGGTTCAGGGTTGCAGACGGCTAACGGCTGCCGGCTCCGCTGCGCTCGGCGCTGACGTGTATGTGGGCCCGGCCGATGGCCATGCAGGCCGCGGCGAGGCCTGTCCGAGGAAAGACTGTCCACGTTAGTAAGACCAAGTCGTTGTTGCTTGTATGGCTGAGGGAAGCCGCGGGGCACGTGGAGAGAGGCCTGATTAGCTAAGCACCCCGCCCCCGCCTCCTGCCTACCCGGCGGCGCCGCCTTCTCCACCTCGACCTCACCGCCCGCACCGACATGACCTCACCCCGCCTAGCAGAGAGCCTCCACGGCTCCCATGAACTCTACGCTCGATCCCGGCCCCTGCCGTCATGAAACCAAGACCTTGTGACTCTCAGACCGCCCGACGCAACCAGCCCGACCCGACCGCAGAACCATGCCTCCTTCTCCTGCTCCCCCGTGAGCTGCGAGACCTCATCTGGGAATACAGTCTCCTGTGCGCCCATGCTCCGCCTGCGCTCTCGTCGCCCGCAAACACCGCCTCTTCGTATCAGCAGTACGACTCGTGGGGTGAAGAAGCCAACCACTACCCGCGCCGCACCCTCGTGAACAGCACCGCTCTGCTCTGCTGCAGCCGCCAGGTCAACGCCGAGGTCTCCGACGCCATTGCCCGCCTGCGTGCCCACCGCCGCCTGGCGTGTTCGCTGCGCATCCTGCTGCGGAACGAGAAGCACCTCTTCATCGACTGGACCTGCGTGCCCGCCGTAGCAACCCACTATGACGCCGTCCACATCGACTTCAAAATCGTCGGCAAGCCCCAGCCCGCCGACGGTGCCAGCAGCCGCGACCTGCCCATGAGGACACTGCATCCATCCGCCTTGCCGGGCCATACCCTCTCGCGGACCAGGGCCTCCTCATCCGCCGCCCCCTGGACATCGCTCCTGTACGAGCGCAAGGACCGCGACTTCTCCTTCCACCGCCACCTGTTCAAGCTGCTCGCCCGCCTGCGCAACTACGGGCCCTCCTTCCTCGGCGACCCCGTCATCTTCTCCGCCATCAGCAGTAGCAACAACAACAACAACAACACCACCACCACCACTCCCGCTCTCACGTCCTCACCAAACACCCAACCGCCACCACCACAACCACCACAGCACCACCACCAAAAGCAACCCCCACCACCGCCACCACCGCCCCCCCGCCGCCGCCGCGCCCCCACCACCCCCACCACCTTCGCCCTCCTCACCATCAACGTCCTCACCCCGCCCACCTCCCACACCGACCCCACCGCCTTCCGCCCCCCGCTCTACCCCTGGACCACCGGCCGCACCACCCCCCACCACCACGACAACGGCACCACCTGGAACCTCATCGTCAGCCGCCACCAACGCACCCTTTCCGGCAGTAGCGGTGCTGGTGCTGGTGCCGGCTCCGTCGGCCTCGTCCCGCCCGCCGTGGTGACGGCGTGCTGTCGCGAGTTTTTTGCGTGGGCGCTGCACGCGCGGAGTACGGGCAGGGCGGTGGCGGGCGCGGGCGCGGGCGCGGGCGCGGGCGCGGGGAGTGGTAGGAAAGAGAATGCGTTTTTGGAGGAGGGGTTTGGGGATGTGAGGGTCTTGCTGGATGGGAGGGAGGACTTTTTGGTGGAGTTGGGGCTGGAACGGCCGGGTGGGGGCGGGTTGGTGGGGAGGAGGGGTGATGGCGATGGTGAGTTCGCGGGCGAGGGTGAGCAAGTCGCTGTTCATAGCCTCAGGAGGAAGTGGTGGGAACCGGTGTTCAAGAATAAGGCGGAGGCGTTTGCGTGTGGTGACGGTGCGGAGGAGGGAGGCGGGTTGCATAGGTATTGTAGCGCGACGAGGGAGTTGAGGAGGTCGGCGTGAAGAGATTGGCTGCCTGGGGATGAGTGTCAACTGTGGAGGTGGCCTGAGGAGTATGACTTGCTCCTCGGATGAGTATACAGATGGGTTTGGTGAAGTAGCAGCAGCCTTCCACTTGTACAATCAAGTCCTCCTTGAATGTGATGTGATATTAACACCATAGAATATTGAAATGGCGAGGTTGTATGTGTCGGCATGAAGCAAGCACATTTTCCTGCGCACATGTACACGTGAGGAGTAGGCTAGTACCTAGTATACGGCACCCTCGATACTCGGCATCCCCATCTACAAACTAACTTGAACTGTTTTGGCGAAAGACCAGCCTGTTCAACCGTGTTCGTCCCGAGTCAATCACCCGCAGCTGATACTGCCGGTCCGGCAACCCGTTAAATCTACCGCGTTATTGTCAGACAATATAAGCCAATATTAGCCAGCACTGGAAACTAGTGCGGCGCTGTACCTTTTTCTAGTGCGACAGTTATTGATATCGTGCCGATCAGTCTGACTATCCTCTGTGGAACTACATTGTGGACTGCTATGAGGCCCACCCCCTCCGGCACAGCCTGATGATTTTATTTGTTGCAATTCTCGCGGTGATGCCTAACAAGCTGGTTAGCACCGAAGACACCCCCGTACGCAACTCAATGAAAGCGAAAAGCGTTTCCTATAGGACTTGAGAAAATATATCACTTGCTAAACCTGTATCGTGGACTACGCATCCGCCGTGTTTTTATATCTGGCAAGGCTATCTGATTGACATCCTTGTTTGTATGCTGTGAGATGGTCTGTGCGCGGTGCGTTCAAGTCGTCACTTGCTACCCCTCAGTCGGCCACGATATATCATCCAACATGCCTTTTTCCATCCCGCTGACCTCGACTTCAACCTCTGTTTACCCAAGCACCGAATCTCACGATAGCGACGGTTCGGAATGGTCGATAGTAACCTCGCTGGCGCTGCTGAGCATCCTGACCGTGCTAATTGTCCCGATTGTGGCTTTGTTCATTCGTCGCAATATACATGATACTCTGGACCTTTGCGCGAGTGTATTTCGTGGCCAAATATGTACGGGTACTCACTCCATTTACCAGCCTACTTTCATGTAATAGTAGAAATTTGACGATGTCTGCTAGGACACGGAGAAAAGGGCGATATCGAGCCGCTCATTGGATCCTAATGCCACGGAACATCCTCTCTGTCACTGCTCCCTGTTTGCATTTGTTTCTCGTTTTAAGCGGTAGTAAGAGGGCAGTCCAACGAGTAGCAAAAAGCGACCAAGCGAAGCCTATTGCAGGAGAAATCAATTCATTCGAACTTTTGGTTTCGACCGCCTAGTTCTAGACAGTCGTGCCTTCAACGCCCAATTCTACCCTAATACTTTTACAGCAGGAGAGAGCGGGCAATGAATGCCCTTCCACTCCGCGCAGATAATGAAGAGGACCTCTAAAACAAACTTCCCCTACCGATACTGGCCACCAAGAAACAAGTACAGCGTCTGGCGAACAGTCGACAGATACGTCGCCCCGTGGTCAGACCTACCGAGCCACCACGCGAGCACGCCGACGGCGACGGCCATGACGAAGCCGCCGGCCGGACGCCTGTACCGCCACAGACCCCATCTGATGCCGTTCGCCACCTTCTTGTACATGTTGGCGCGCCTGATCTGCTCCTCATGCTTGACGAGGAGCTGCTCGGCCTCTTCCAGCGTCTGCGTCGTCAGAGCCCGCGGCTCGCGCGTTGTCCTGAGCACGCTGTAAGGCGAGATTGCGCGCCACGCGCCCCAGGGGAGAGACTCGGGGGGCTTCTTGGCGAAGAGCTCGACGGTCGAGGCGATCAGGCCTTCCAGGTCGAGCGGCTTGGGCAGCTTCTGGAGCGTGACGTGCAAGACGTCGATGTCGTCGGGCGGGATCTCGAGGAGCTCGTCTTTGCGGGTGAGGATGATCTGGGAGAGGGGGGGCTTTGTGTCAGCTTGGTGGCACAGAGGCGTCGTTGCGCAGGTAGGGTACACGCACGGCAGCGAATAGGTAGACGCTGTAAACGGCCTCGTGCGCCAGCAAGAAGTCAAAGAGGCGCGCAATGTCGCCGTACTCTTGTATGTCGTGGGCGTACATTGTGATGGTGGCGGCCAGGGCGAAGAACGGCTCGGCGGGGCGCAGGTGCTCGTATAATGCAGAGTCGACGCTGTACAGGATCGAAGGGAGCAGTTTCAGATGGTCGAGGGCTGCGTCGAGCGAGGGCAGCATGAAATCGCGGATGCGCAGCAGCGACAGACGGGTCACAGCAGGCACGGCTCGGTCGGAGCCGAGCACCAGCAGGAAGACCTGGACGATGTCATGGTAGCCTTGGAAGTAGCACAAGCGGGGGTGACGGCGCAAGATGTGGGCAATGACATCGAACAGCTCTTCCTTGCGCTCCTCGATCTGTTGTTCCGACTGGTCTGCGGAGCTGTCAGCGGCGGGCGGGCGGGGCGCCGGGGGGCTGGGATGCGCGAGAGGCCAGCAATACCCTTGGGGTAGTAGACGAAGGAGCGGTTCACGTCCAGCTTGACCTGGTCCTCGTCATGGTGCGGCGGCAGCCGGGTCCAGGGCGGGGCGGCAGGGCTGTCGCTGGGGCTGTCGCTGGGGCTGGCGCAGTCGCAGTCGCCGTCGCTGTCCGGGAGGCTGTCGCGGGCGCCCAGCAGCAACGGCCCTGCAGCACAGTCAGCGCATGGGGACCCGAGTGCCTGGCAGGGGCGGCGACGTACAGGCGTCGCGGCGCAGGCGGTCGGTGAGCAGGCCGCGGGCGGTGGTTGCGAGGCGGGTCAAGGTGTCGAGGTCGGCGTCCCTGCATGCGCTGCGGATCTGCGCCGCCTTCAGATCGACGCCGGCATCCGAGTCGCGGCGATTGGCCTCGGGGCTTGGATGCTCGTCGTCGCGGTTCTCCGGGGGCGGGGCGGGCTGTTGGAGCTGGTCGTGGGCGGACATGGGCGGCGCTTTGTCGCTCCGCAGGTTGGCGGCGGCGGGAGCGCGGGCTGGCGGCGGGTCTCTGGCTCGCTCTGGCTCGCTCTGGCTCGCGTCTCGCCTTAGCTCGCTCGCGGCCGAGGTGACGCTATTGCGGCGGCTGAGGCGCGTGGAGGAGTGACTGCGCGAGCGACTGCGCGAGTGACTGCGCTGCATGACGGCCCAAGACGGCCTCGACTGCGCGGCAGCCACCGATCTCACGCAGGGGGTTGTGTTCGTTATTTGTTATGTGACCGCTCGCATTGCGCTGACGGCTGGCGCCCCGCGTGTTTTCTCGCGCACCCATGACCCCGAGCTCCCGATTCGACCAGCTGCATTTCTGCATCCCCAAACGGCACTCCAGGCTCTTCATGTCGCCCCGGCCGCCGCCGTCCTGAGCCCTCGACCCGCCAAACCACCACCGCGCCCCGGCCCTGCCTAGCTGGATAAGGCTGTGGAACCGCCCTCTCACCATGCCGCCGCAATTGCCCGCGCCCTCCCTCTGCATGCCTGCCGCCGCGCCCCAGTAGCAGCCTCCCTCCGCCTCACCACGCCTCCGACGGCCCTCGACATCCGGCCCTCGACCTCCGCCGCCAAGCCCTCACCTCTCTACCAATCCGCTCAGCCCTGCGTCGAGCCGCCCCGGTCACCTGTCTCATACGCCCGATTGTTGCCACCCACGCCTACTAATACCAGCAAGTCCGCGCCCCCCATGGCTCTCCAAACCGGCGTCTTTGAGAATGGCCAGTGGGTCACCCGCCGCGTGAACATCCAGGACGTTTTGCAGCAGCACAGCCAGCGGGAGTCCCTCCCAGAGCAGCTTCCCTTCAAGCCCCCCATGGACCAGCCCGTCGTCGGTCTCCTCTCCCGCACCGTCCTGCAGAGCCCCGTCGTCAACTGGATCATCCCCGCCCGCGTCCGCAACCGGGAGAAGAACGACGTCGTCTTCATCGGCGAGGACTTCATCCAGCTGAAAGAGATCCTCCCCAATGCCCACCTCGAGCATGTCAGCACCAAGGCCGACTTTGGCGCCCGCATCCGCGCCGCCAGGGTCTTTGGGGAACCCAGGAAGTTCATCCACCCGCCCATGATGGAGAAGGCCCAGATCCCCATGGAGATCGACTGGAGTGAGCTTGTCCCTCCGCAGATCCTCGTCCTCACCTTGGAGTCTCAGGAGCTGCTGTTCCTGTTTGCGCGCCCGAAGAGGGACGGCTCAGTCGAATGGAAGGAGAGCTGCATACCACTCTCCCCTGATGCTTCTCTTCTCGAACAGCCGGGCAGACATCTGGCAGTAGACCCTCGTTCCCGGGCTCTTGCCGTGGGCGCGGCCGAGAGCTCCATTTTCATTTATGCCGCCAAGACCATGCCAGAGCTTCGCAGCAACATTTCTCATGATACTCAAAACTGGACGCCGCTCAAGTCGGAGCGACCGGTGGCCATCCCGGGCACCATTTTGAAGATGGAATTCCTCTACCCCGAACCAGACGATGAGCATCACGTAATACTTTTGGTCATCTACTCCAGAGATGGCAAAACCCGCATGTCTTGCTATGAGTGGGACAACAGATATGGCTTGTCGCACATCCGTCCGGTAGTCGAAGGGTTTCCACTTTCTTACAGTAAGCCCGTTTTCCGTCCAGCTCACCCTACCACTAATGCTTCCTCCAGACCAACGCAATCCCCAACTCCTCATTCCACTGCAACATGGCCCCTCGTTCATACTTGCGGGCCATGTCGAGATCTACATCCACCAGGAGATCATGACCGGCAACCCCAAAAGAAGTTCTGTGAGTCTGTCCAAAGAAGAGGGCCCAAGGCATCCCGGCAATTCACGGCGCTTTCCCACGTGGACTAGCTGGGCGAGGACGGGCCGCAATTGGATCTGGAACAATAAGCAAGAAGAAAACTTCTACCTTGTGCGTGAAGACGGTGTAGTGCACTACATGCAAGTCAATTCCCGCAGTGGTGCTTTGACAAGCAAAGCCGGCCACTTCATGTGCAACGTCGCGTCAGCATTTGCAAGCCTGGATGTGGGCTATTACCTCGACACTCCCGATGTCCTGGTGACGGCCGGCGACATGTCCCCCGGCGAGATCGTCAAGGTATGTTCCGCTGCATCTTCTGATTGGAGAAAGCCTAACACCCTGGTAGATCGGCCAGTGGCGGGATGAGATCCAGTTCAACGACCGCAAGGGCTCCCAAAGGACACGCGCCCAAATAATGGAGCCTGACTTCATCAACTCGATCCAGAACTGGTCGCCAACGCTTGATTTGATCCTTGCAGATGCAGCCCATTCCAGCAATCCGGTCGGCCGCGTGAGGCGACGGATTCTTGCAACGTCCGGCAGGAGCCCGTACGGCGCAATCACGGAGATTCGAGCTGGCCTCAACGCCAAATTGGGCCTTACTTTCGATGAAAACGACCTCGCCGGAGTCACCGGCGTTTGGACGTTCCCGGACTCGTCGGCAAACGGCGTGTATTTTTTGTTGTCGTTCCCTTCATCCAGCCTCCTGCTTCACATCGCCGGCGATGCCTCGGGCGTGGAGACTGACTTCGACGAGGAGAACACTGGTGTTGATTTTGAGAATGAGACCCTGGTCTCAGGCCTGTTGGGCCAAGGTCTTGCAGTTCAGATCACGCCCAGGGGTTTCATAGCCCTGGATATATTCGCCATGGGAAAGACACTGCCGAGGAAGGGCTCTTGGAAGTTACCTCCAGAGGAGGTACTTCTTGCAGGGGCTGTCTGCTCTAAGCTGTCAACCGCATATGCCGGAATCCGTTCGCAGCATGGACTGTCTCTCCAGGCGAAGAGTATAGAACCACGGGGAGAAGATGTAAAATTCGAGTCTACGTCGTCGGTTTCTTTGAGCGCAGATCCCACGTGCGTCGAGGTGCTGGAGTATAATCGAGCAAACATGCTTCTTGTGGCCACAACTGATGGCCTGGTCCGACTGTACAAGATCCAAGGAGACGGAAGTGTTGGGCGGCTGTTAGAGCAACATCAGATCTGGCAAGATGCTTCCACACAAGAAACGTTGAATGCTTGTCAGAGTGCAGTGCTTCTGCACGACAATCCGCCGAATGCCTCGGAAACGGACATTGCGATAGTGTGCGGTCTCCGAAGCGGTGATTTGTACGTCATTGAACTCTCCCGCACAGGGCTCAAGCATGCCCTCGATGGAACAGCAGCAGCGCCTGAGACCGATGCCGGCGCCATCTCTTCGACAAAAAGGATAACCCTTGGCCAAACACCAGTCGCCGTCGTCAAAGATACCGAAGGAGGAGCCAGCCTTGCCTTTGCCACTTGCGGCGCCGAGTTTTACCGTCTGGACTACAGCACGGGCCGTCACATTGGCCTGCAAGTCACCAACATTTGGTTCACGGATCGGAATCGCCCTAGCCTACGTCAGAGCCCCGTCTCGTCGATCTGCAGAATACCACGCGAGGATTACCTGATACGGGACCTCGGCGGAGCGTTGGTCTGCATTTCAGGCACATCGTTTTTCGTTGCACAGCTGGAAGAAGAAAGACACATCGTTCCTCGGAGCATCCCTGTGCGGGGAACCCCGAATAGGGTCATATACTCGGAAGAGCTCAAGGCGGTCTTCGTAGCTTGCCTGGAATCCCACACGTTTGACCCCGCTACGCGAGATGGCCGTCAACGTCGGTACGCGCAGAGCTATGTCCGAATGCACGATGATCGGCCTGGATCTCCAAGCACCGATGTCATCGCCGAGTACGCACTGAATCCGACTGCCAGAGTCAATGCCCTCACGACGTGGACTCTTGAGAGCAATGGCAGGAAATATGTCCACGTCGTGGTGGGTAGTGTGGAGGGGGATGGCAGGAAGGGGAGCGTTGTTTGCATTCAAAAGACCACAAAAGATGGCAAGACAAAGTTGGAGAAGACGAAGGACATGAAACTCAAGCAGCAAGTCACGGCGCTAGCGAGCTACGGGGAGTCGAACTTCCTTGTGGTGTGCTATGGAAAGAAAATGCTCGTCTATCAGTACAACGAGGAGACAAAGAGGTGAGCATCTATTGCAACCCCTGTCCCATCACGATTCTAAGCTGACAACTGCAGGATCCAAACGGCGGGAGAGCATGATCTCCCATCTGCTGGTCTCTATGTCACCACGGAAGCGCCGTTCATCTACGTCTCGACAGCCTGCGATTCTCTCATCATTCTGAAGGTTGAGCATGACCTGCAAGACCGGACTGCTAACTCGATGAAGTTCGAGCTCCTCTTCTCAGACCGCCAGGCGCGCGATACATCATTCCACCTACCGCTAGATGTTCCTCACATCTCAAAGAAGCGGACTACCGATGCGCCAGATGATGCCACCGAGGGAGCTTCCTCTGTTGGTTTGGGCGGCGCACACAGGAACAGCTTTTCAAAACCAAGTCCACCATCCGCTCCGTCCTCCAATCTGGTTTTAGTGGCTGACAAAGCTGGCTCACTAACACTTCTCCACCTCCCGCGGCGGCGAACACAGCAAACCGCTGCACCAACTCTGCTGGAGGCTTCTCTGCCACGCAGCGTCACGCGTCTCCGGCGCGGCCTGATCAGGCCAACACTGCAGTACCACCGCAATCAAACGCAAGGCTCCAGCGCGCCGGGCGGCGTGCTCGTCAACGACATCATCGGCGCGGCGTCGGACGGCACGCTGTTCGGCATCTCGCTCGTGGACGAAAGGGCGTGGCGGCTGCTGCGGCTGCTGCAGAACCTCTGCAGCGTGCTGGATCGAGAGAAGCGGGCGGAGCGGCCAGGTGGGATGCTCGTCCCGCTCGTCAACCTGGGCATGTCTCACCGTCTGATCGCAGGGCCAGTGAGGCTTCTCGACGAGGCGGACGTCGTCGCCTTCGAGTCGGCAGCAGCAGCGTCGACCACCACAACACCGCAAGCGGAAGGCATGGACATCGACGGCGCGACGGACTACGGCGACTTCGACGACGGCGCGGACGCGGACGCGGCCATGGACCTCGACCACCAGTCGTCGGCATCGCCGCCGGCCAACTCGTCGTCCTCGTCGTCGTCGTCGTTCGCGTCGCCGCGCCCGACGATCCCTGGGCTTGTGAGCAGTCAACAACGTGCTTCCAACGGCGGCAGGACCACGCTGCATGCGCAGGGCTCGCGGCTGCACACGCAGAATCGCAGCGCGGAAGCCCTGTTGCGCGCGCTGGATCCGGACAAGGACACTGCTGGGCTCAAGCGGCGGACGGCTTACCATGTTGAGGGAGATGCGCTGATGCGCTTCATGGGCAGGGAGGGCGAGGGTCTGTTACTCGCCATGTTGGAGGTGGTTTGCGGCGGCGGGCCGGGCGGGCCGGGAGAGGAGATCAGGTGGAAGTTTGTGAAGTGTGCGCGAGACGTGGTGCGGGAGGAAGGCGCCGGCGAGAGCATGGACGTCGAAGGGGGGCAGGTTGGTGGCGACGAGCTTGAGGTGGTGGTGCGTAAGGTGGTGATGTGGCTGAGGGGGGTGTTGGCACCGGTTCTGTGAGGCGGGGGGCGTGCTTCAACGGGTCTCATTGGGGTATCCTTTCTTCTCGCCGGCGGATGAAGGGGGATTCCGATGCCTGTGTCTTTCTATTCTTCTTGTCTCTTCTCTTCTCGTCTCCCGCTCCACCTCTTCCCCAAACCCCATCACTCCAAACAATTTTAGCCCCGGCATTTGGATGCTCGCGGAGACCCATAATCACAGGCTGGGGACCTGAGTTTTCGGTTGTATATGGGTCGGCTTTCTTCGTTTACCGCAGCATTAGTTATACACCAGTAGCTCCGCTTTTGGTTTGGGTGGTGTGCTCACAACAGCGACTGCATGATAGACGGCCTCAGCATAGCACGGTATTTCAGACGTGTCATTTCGAGCAACTTGATTCGTGAAACACATGAAACAACCCTTGCTTGAGGTTGTGGCCGCGTCAGCTGCGTGGGACAGCTAGAGTCAGCGGCCACGATATATCGCGTTACGTAGACCATCGGAGCGAGCTCGGCATGACTCGCAGCATCAAGTTGACAGCTCGCCTTCTGCCGTCGACCACCGAAGCTCCAGCTCCACAAACACCAAAGCTCCCCGCCCTCCACCACCACGCCACTTTTTTCTTATTTGCTCCCCCCAACATGTCGAACCGCGGCTACGACGTCGTCGTCGACGTCGACTCCGAGGTGCGCTTCCCGCCAATTGCCTGTTTGTTGCGCGCAGGAGGCATTCCCAGGCATTCACCGAAAGGCCACTCCGACTGACGCGCGTTTCGTGCACAGGGTGACCTAGGCCACACCGACCTCCAAGAAGACCTCGAATTCCACCCCTCCAGTATGCCTGCCCCGCTCCCAGCTCCTCCTCCTCGTCATCCTCCTCCTCCCCCCTCGCATCGCCTCCGACTAACGTCCAACCACCCTCCACAGACTTCGACTCCAACGATGCCGGCAAAATCGCCCCAGACACGGCGCCCTCCGGCCACCGCCGCGGCGGATCCCGCAGCAGCGCCTTCGGCGGAGCCGGGGGCGGCTCCTCATCCAACACGGGCGGCGGCAGCGGCAGCGGCGGCGGCAGCGGTTCCTCGTCGTCGAAGCGGTACCTGTGGAGCATCGGGTACTACCAGCAGTTCTTCGACGTGGACACGGGCGAGGTGCTGAAGCGGTGCTGGGCGGCGATCCTGCCGCTGCGGTCCAACTTCCTCGACGTGCTCGAGGGCAACCCGGACCTGTACGGGCCCGTGTGGATCGCGACGACGGTGGTGATGATCCTGTTCCTGACGGGCACCATGAGCCAGTACCTCGCGCGCTCGGGCGAGGACCACTTCCCGTACGACTTTCGCCTGCTGAGCGGCGGCGCCGGGCTGGTGTACGGGTATACCATCGTGGTGCCCGTGGCGCTGTGGGGCGTGCTGAAGTGGTTTGGGAGCGAGAGCGCCAACGTCATGGAGTGCTGGGCGCTGTATGGCTATGCGAACATCATTTGGATCCCGGTGGCGCTGATTAGCTGGAGTCCCATCACGAGTACGTACAACTTGCTGTGGGGGAAACTGTGGGAATGAATGGCAGGTATGGGGGTTTGCTAACGCTGGTCTTTGTTTTTTTATCGCAGTTCTCAACTACGTCTTCGTCGGCATCGGATTCGGCGTCTCGGCCTTTTTCCTCTTCCGCAACCTCTACCCGGTTCTTAGCGCGACGGACGTCAAGACGTCGAAGATTTTGCTCATCGTCGTCGTCGCGTTGCATGCCGGCTTGTCCATTGCGATCAAGATCCTGTTCTTTGCGCAGGGTAGCCCCGTCAGCAAGCATGACGATTCAGACGACGAGGATGACGACGACAAGGTCAAGTTGCTGAAGACGCTGTTCCGATTCTGAGAAGCTGCTGGAGTTGGCCCAGGACGGAAGGGTTGTATTACAAATTAAAAGAATTTGCCCTGGCATGGCGCTCGGATGGGGTTCGCTCTTGCATTCAGGATTTGGAGCTCCCGCGAAAGATTGGAATTTGGCTTTTCTGAGCAGCTGGCATGTTCGATATGCCAAGGTAGGAACGAGGGGCTGTGTTTTATTGCTATTTGTTCTCTAGTGAGGTGTATGAGTAGAGAATTGCTGGTGCTGCTGCATCCTCGGTGGCGCTCGAATCAAACACCAATTTGTAGAATCGAGTATTGGATGTTAGTACGTGAGTTAACTTACCGGTGTCAAGAGAAGCTGTAGGTGCATTATCACAAGGATCCAAATCATACTTCAGCGTCGAGGCTATCTGCATGTTCAGCAGGCCACTGTGAAGGTAAACGACGCCACGCTCTGTATACTTTCACTGCCGCTCACTGTTTTTTAATGCTCAGGCTTTCTTACCATAGCCTTCACGCTGTCGTGCCGGTTTACCAGCTAAGAGGAATGCCCGAGCAGAAAGTTGCCAAGTTCTCGGTGCATGGGAAGTACTAATCGATCATCCTGCGCACTCATCGAAAAAGCCTTGCGGGCTCTCGAGCCAAGCAAAAGGCTTTATCCGGCATAGAAAATATATCGAACGCCTACAAGCATGATGTGAGCACAGTTAACCGTGTTTTAATATAAGTCGACACTATCTGAGTATTTACCCGCTACACTCTTGAGCCGTAAATCACTGAGATGATATTCGAACTACTGACTCGAGTTGCGGAAGCCTCAAAGATGTGTCTAGGGTCCTACTCCTCATCCACGGCAGCTACTTTAGAAGAACCAACAAGCTCGCTTGCGCAGCCGGTAGAGAATACACACATCAGGGTACAGACTTGTAGGTAACTCCAGACAGACCTGACTCGAGAGGCCAAATGTCCAAATACCCCACGAAGACACACGGCCGAAATATTATGGCGTGCGATGGATACGAGGCTCAAAGCCGTATAGCTGCCGATCACTGCACGCAAGAACCGTCCCCACCTCGATCATCTGAAAGCCTGGTTCCAAAATTGGAAGACGATGCCCAGCCAGTGGCCGTCGTGTTTCGAGGCGAGGTGTCAACGGCAATCCGTGCACCACCAAACCAAGACCAGCCACTTGGCTGCACGTCATTCCCGCGCGCCTGCAAGCTAGGCAAGCCTCCCGTCGCATCCCCGGACGCCTCTTTTGATCAACCACCACTTTCACCACTTCGTTTCCGTCTCTTTTTTTTTTCCCCTGTTTTTTCCCCCTCCGGTTGGCCGTTTGACATCACCTTGGGTGAAAATGGCCAAGCTTTTCTGCAGCTGCAACTTCTTGGGACTGGCGCTCCTTTGATGGAACCCTTGGACTGGCGCGCGGACCTCGTGTTCGGGGAGCTGTTATTTACAAGTCGTTATCAGACCCTCTCCTCCCCCCCTCCCTTTCACTGCCCGTACTCTTCAATCACACTCCTCGGTTTCTCAAACCTCCCAATAGGCTTGTACACCAAATCATCCAACCCAAACGCCTTCGGCCCGCCCAGCTCCACGCCCCTCGGCGTCGACGTCCACCGGTCGGACGCGGTGATGCCCAGCACGACGACCAGCAAGCCGTAGCGGTACTCGGGCGTGCCGATGGCCTCGCCGTTCTGCGCATCGATGCAAGAAATGAGATCGGGCACGATGGCCAAGGTCTCCTCAGAGCGGCGGCGGCCGCCGTGCTCCTCCTCCTCCTCCTCTACGACTTTGAACGCCGCGATGTTCTCGTTCTTGAACGGGATCCGGACCGTGCCTTCGAAGCGCTCCTCCCCCTCCTTCTTCACCTCGTCGTCATCGTCCTCTTCGGCGGTGCTGTTCCTGGTGGCCTCGATGACGACCTCGCCGTAGACGTGCCCGTTGCGCAGCGTGCGCTCGACGCCGACGATCTTGCCCTTGAACAGGACCTTTGCGGCACCGCTGCCGCCCACCTCGGCGACGATGGACTCGGCGACCGTGTCGATGCGGTTGGAGTGCCGGGCCTTGTGGACGGCGCGGCCGATGCGCCAGGAGAGCGAGATGGTGTGCTCGACCACCCACCGCTTCGTCTCGGCTGCGCGGAGTCGAGTTCACACGTTAGCGCCAGCTCTTGTTGTTGTTGCCCCCGATCACTGCTTCGACCTCCCATCGCAGAGTTCGGTAGTAGACTTACCGCCTGTGACCGGTCCCTCGGCGCAACCGACATGTGAGCCAAGCTCGGAGAGTCCGGCACGGAAGACTCGCTCCACCGTCTCGTCGCTCGTGGCCTTGGTCATGAACTGCGGCGCGCAATAAGTCTCCAGATCTAGCTCTTTGAAGCACGCGGTGGATCTCTGGGGCAGGTCGCAGAAAGCCGCTGTTTGTATGTACCACTACTCACCACGACATTCCCATTCCCGTCGCACATGGTGGTCGGAGACCAGACCGTCTTCCTCTCCGCAAAGACGACGGGCGTCGTCTGCCATTTGGTCGGGTACGCTCTGCCCATCCAGTCGCCGTCGACGGTGGGGATGTCCATGTTGGTGCTCGCGCCCAGGATCATGCCCTGCAAGCCGTTGCCGCCGCCGATTTCGAGGGCGATCATGTGCGTGGCTTTGTCCTTCACAAGGCCGTACAGCTCCTCCTGGGCCTCCATCATTCTGCGGTCGTCCAGTTAATGATGTCCCCCGTATCTCGTGCTGTATGCAGTGGGATAACTCACTCGTCACCCGCGAGCTTCTCGATGCCGACAGTCGGCGAGCCCGCTCCTCCACCACAACCCACGCGATCGTCGTCCTTCAAATCCGTCGGGCTGACGACCTTGACGACAGCGCCGTTGCGCAACATTGTGCGCAGGCGTAGCATACTCGAGTAGGGACTGCCGCCGCCGCCGGTGCCCAGGATGTAGCAACCCGTCGAGATCCACGCCAGGTCCGTCTCGGAAATGTACCACACCCTGTCCTCCACCTTCGGTCTGTACGCCTCAAAATCGAAATCCCGATCAGCCTGCTCTGCCACTTCCCTCTCCTTCACCACCCCATCCCCATCCCCGACCCCGCCCTTCCCCTTCCCATACTCCTCCATCAAGCTCCCGTCGTCCTCGTCCACATCCTCCACCCCATCCCGCTCAACAACAACACCCTCACCCTCACCCTCACCACCCACCCCCTCAATCCCCTCCTCCTCCCCCCTCCCGTAATCAAACTCCCCCGCCGCCCTCACGACGAACCGGCTCAAATCCGCCACATACTGCAACGGCAACACATCCACCTCCACGACCCTGCACCCGTCCCTCCTCGCCCCCGCCCTCACGGCCCTCTCCACCGCCTCGGCCTCCAGCTCCGCCACCCACTCCCTCGCCCCCTTCTTCTTCCCCCCGGCCGCCGCCGCATCCGCAGCCGTGCTCCGCACCGCGTCCACGACCGCGCTGACGCCCGCCATCGCCGCCCCCACCGCGTTCGCGACGCCCGCGTGCCGCGGCCTCACCACGCGCGCCGCGCCCCTCAGGCTCTCGGGCGCGATGACGGCGCCGCCGCCGACGAGGACGACGGGGATGGCAGCGGGGCTCGTCTTCATCGTGTCGATGATGGCTTCGAGCTTGCGGCGGACGGCGGCGGTGAAGGACGAGGCGGCGGCGGGGGGGATGGCTGCGCGGGCGGCGGCGGCGTGCGTGCAGGCCGAAGAGAGGGAGAGGGTGGGGTTGGCGGCCAGCGTGTAGTCGGTGGCGGTGGGGACGGTGCCGCCGAAGCAGAGGGCTGAGGTTTGGATCGCGTAGCCGACGCTGTCGGGGCCGACTGTTAGGGTGTTGGCGTTGGTGGGGGAGCGGCGGACGATGGAGCCGCCGCCGAGGCCGATGCTGGAGGGGGTTGGGTTGGTTAGTTGGGGGGTGCGAGGGTTTGCGGGATGATGGGCCGGATGGCTTTGGGGTGTCGCGGGTGACGGGTTATATAGTGGGTGAAAGATAGCAGATAGGGGGAAGAGACAATCAAGGGATGGTAGGAGAAGTTGGGACCTATTACATAGGGGAAGGAAGGGAGGAAAGCCGCGTTTTGGAAGAGGGTATTTCATGACGGCAACGACCAAGCAGAAGAGAAAAGGGCCTTAGAGAAATACGAGACGCATGACAAGAATGAAAGAAATATGAAATCACCTCTTGACGTCTGGACACGAGAAGTTCATCCTCACGCCCGCAAATTCGCTGAAGGCGGCAGCTTGCCTAGGGAAGCCGTTGGCCAGCAGTAAGCCCACGTCCGTCGTAGTCCCGCCCACATCCACCACCATCATTGGCTCTTTCTTGCTCTGCTCACCCCCGCCGTCGCCCGCCACCAAGAAGGCAGCGCCCCGCATGCTGTTGGTCGGTCCGCTGCTGAACGTCCTGATGGGCAACCTCGCAGCTGCCTCGCCGCTCAGAATGGTGCCATCGTTCTGAGTGATGAAGACCGGACACCGCAGCCCCAGCTTGCGCACAGGTTCACGGAAGGAGCGGATGGTGCGGCGGGCGAAGGCCAGGATTGCGGCGTTCAAGACGGCGCCATTCTCGCGCTCGAGGAAGCCCAGCTGCGGAACGACTTCGCGGGCGCACACGACGTCAACGGCTGGGGGCAAGCAGCGGCGGGCGATGGCGGCGGCGCGGGCTTCCTGGTTGCGGGTGGGGTCATCGTTGTCGATGGGCGAGAAGACGCCGTTGATGACGACGGCAGCGATGGACCGGGGGTGGGAGACGGCAGCGATGTCGGCGCAGACGGATGCCAGTTCTTGCTCGTCGATGTCGGAAATCGGTCGGCCGTCGACCTCGAGACCGCCCTTGACTTGGGCGTGATGGCCCAAGACGAGCGAGCGGAGGTCTGTTGGCCAGTCGATGCAGGGCGGGGCGTGCTTGCCGAACGGGCCTGAGAGACGGATCACGGCAACCCGGGAGAGACGTGCAGCATCGCGCTCGATTACAGCGTTTACAAAGTGCTGGGTGTGGTCAGGAGAAGAGTCACGAGTCCAGTAAGGAGAAGTAAATACCGTGGTTCCAATGGTGACGCTAGCCACCTCGTCCGGGTTTATTTTGGACTGCTCGAACATGGAAACGAGGGCATCTCTGATTCCGAGGCTTGGATTGGTCGTCGTGGGAGCTTTGTGCCTTCTCCCAAGTGAGTTTGTGGCATATCAAGTTCGTTTTCCACCTGTGCTTACCAGGCTAGGATTCCCTTGTCGGGCTCGGAGGCACGGAGAGGGTCGAGGATGACGCCATCTGTGTTGGTGCTGTCGGACTAGAAGTCAGAACAGCCGCCAGCTCGAAGGAGACCACTGACCCTCCGACGTCGACGCCGATTCGCAACCTCTTGACGGCCATTTTGAAACGTCCAGTCCCGGCCTTGGCGCGTTTGGCTTACCCGGAGAAGTAGCAACCGCGTGGAGAAGCTCGAGGACGTGGCGATAGAGGAGGCCAGGGGAGGCTGGTGATTGTTGCGACGGGCCACACAGAGTGCTACCTATGATTCAGATGGAGGCGGATGGTGTTTTGAAAGGAGCGGTCGTGCACCGCGATCGGACGTGATCGGCTCCTTCTCCGCCGACCGGGGCGCGCAGCTCGTTATCACCAGCAACACAATCCTTCGGCTGTCACCGCCTGCGTTAATCCGATCTCCTCGTCAGTGAGCGGATGGACCTTCCATGCGCCGAGTCAGCCTGCCGCAGGTGTGAGAGCCGACCCAGGTGCCGCGAACCAGGAGCTGAGGACATGAGAGGCATCGTTGTACTGCCGTACCAAGCATGATTGTGCTCTGTCGACGAGGGGTACCTAGTCGGCGCTCCGTCTGCTGTTCCGGCTCGGCATCGCACTCATCTCCCCATGGACCCTCCCGCATCGAACTCTCGTTCCCTCTCCCTCGAGATAAGAGCGCTGCAATCAGACATCTGGGCCCCCTGCACGTGGAGATCAGCGACGGTTACGTTTGCCACACACCACCGAACCCCAAGCTTATCACAACTGCCGACCATGTAAAACCCGCTTGCAGCCCAGTCTCCAGTCCCGACCAGCTCTCGCATGCCCCCAGCACCCAACACTGCCCTCCATGGCTACTGCGCTGCGCCGTCGCCAGCTCAAAGATAAACTGAAGCTTCATGGCAACGACGAAGAGCATGAAGAGGCCAACTCGTGGTCGAACAGGGATCTCATCCCACTCCCGCCGTCTCGGAGAACGTGGGGTTGGTTCCATTTCTTCGGTTACTGGACCATCAACAGTCTGAACGTCTCCAATTGGCAGAGCCCCAACACTTTCCTGAGTAAGTCCATGTGCCATTCGCCCTGAAAGCGTTGGACTGACCCTCCTTTCCCCAGCCTATGGCTTGTCTGTTCCCCAGTCTTTGTGTGTCATCGTCGTTGGAAGGGCCCTGATCTGCTTCTTCTCCACCTTGGTGGCTTGGTGCGGCCTGAGGTGGCACATCGGCTTTACAATCCAAAACAGATACACCTGGGGCTTGCGTGGAAGCTACATCCCGCTTCTCCAACGTATCCTGCTGAACTTCATCTGGTGTGCTGTTCAGTGCTGGAACGGAGGGAGGCTGACTGCGTAAGTCACCGTCAACACCCCTCTTGCAATGCTTCGGCTGACAAGTATCAAGTGTTTGCATCGCCGCCATCTGGCCCTCGTTTGCTGCAATGCACAACACTCTGCCCTCGTCCATGCCTACAACCACCTACCAGTTCGTCGGCTTCATCGTGTTTTGGTGTCTCTCCTTCCCCTTCCTGCTCGTGCGTCCAGAGCGCTTCAAGCTGCCCTTCCAGATCACTTCCATCTACTGCGGCCTCGGAATGATCTGCATGCTCATCTGGTCTCTGTCTGCCGCCAAGGGCGTCGGCCCCCTCTGGAGCCAGGGACAAACCATTCCTGCCGCCTCATCCTGGAACACTTCGTGGCTCATGATGCGAGGCATCAACCAGATGATCGGAGGCATCGCCGCCGGCATCACCAACGGCTCCGACTTCTCCCGCTACGCCCGCGGCCCGAAGCACTACGTCGCCGGCACCATCACATCCGCCTGGATCACCGGCACGCTCGTCAGCCTCGTCGGCCTCGTCGTCACGAGCGCCTGCCAAAAGCTCTACGGCGAAGTCTTCTGGAACCCTCCCGACCTCCTCATGCGCATGATGGACTCCGGCCACGGCTCCAGCAAGGCGCGCGCCGGCGTCTTCTTCCTGGCCGCCGGCTTCGCGCTGACGGGCATGTTCGAGAACGTGTGCGGCAACGCCGTCGCGGGCGGCATCGACCTCGCGGGCTTGTTTCCGCGCTACGTCGACATCCGCCGCGGCGCCATCGTCACGTTCGTTGCCGTGTGGGTCGTCCAGCCGTGGCAGCTCATCAACAAAGCCGCCACCTTCGTCTCCGTCCTCAGCTCCTTCTCCGTCTTCCTCTCGCCCATCATGGGCGTCATGGTGTCCGACTTCTACCTCCTGCGCCGCGGCCGCGTCAAGCTCACACACTTGTACCGCACACGCGATACCGATTACTGGTTCACCAAGGGCTTCAACTGGCGTGTGCTCCCGTGCTGGCTGGCCGGCTGGGCTCCTACGGTCGGTGGCTTGGTCGTGACCGTGCAGGAGAAGGAGGATGCCCCGAGAGCGTTGTATGAACTGTACTACATGGCATTCCTGATCGGTGAGTCCATTTAGTTGATGCTGCTTTTGACTACTCGCTGACCGCTTCTCCACTAGGCTTCTTCATCAGTGGTACCCTTTTCTTCGTTCTGAACAAGATCTTCCCGTACCCAGGATGCGGCGAGTACGATGAGGTCGATGTTTACGGCACCTTCACGCCAAAGGAAGCCGCTGCATTGAGCGTCATCTCAACAACGGAGGGACTGGAAGAGATCCAGGGGCGTAGTCCGCAAGTGGAGAAGGAACCAAGGGAGACAGTGACCAGCAAAGAGTGAATGACAAACAAAGGGTGGCCGGCATCATATCGACGGCAATGATGCGGATATTGTCGGAAACACAGCATAATGTTTACTGGAATGACCTAATGTTAGACGACCTCTCCTTCCCCTTCTCGCAAAGCTTAGAAGAATCAAACCTGCTTGACCACCACCACCACCTCCCATCGAGCCTCACATCTCCTCCCCAAACAACGCCCCCACCGCCCGAAACACCACCTCCCTCGGCACCACCACCTCGACCCCCGCCCCCGCCCCCGCCCCGACCACCTCCTCCACAATCCTCTTATGCCCCAACGTATACCCCATGCAATCCATATACACCAGCACTTCCCCACCACCACCACCAACCAGCTCCTTCACCCACCCCGCCACCTCCCTCACCTCCCCCTCGCTCGCCTCCCCGTACGGCGTCGCCGCCTTCCCCCCGACGACCTCGCACCCGCCCACGCCGTCCCACCGCCTGCGCGCCGCCGCCACCTGCCGCTCCTCCGGGCTCACGAGGATCAGCCGCGGGGGCTGTCGGATTTTGGCCGTCGTTCTGGTCCTGTTGCTGTTGTTGCTGTTGTTGCTTTCGCTGTCGCTTTCCCTGCCCGTCCCTGCATCATCCGCGTCGACGTCGCGCAATGATCCTCCTCCTCTTCGTCCTCTTCTTCCTCTTCCTCCTCTTTCCTCCAAAAACCGCCGCACCGCCTCCTGCGGCGCGATGACCGGCACACCCAGGCCGCGGCCGCCGTCGTCGTCGTCGAATCGCGGCACGTCCCCCGTGCAGAGGAGGAGTATGGCGTCGACGGATGCGTCGTTTTCGTCGTCGTCATCGCCATCATCATCCGTCTTCGCCCTCGCCCTCGCCCTCGCCCTAGCAGCAGCAGAAGCACCAGCAGCAACCCCCCTCACGCACGCCTCCACCAGCGGCTTCAAACGCCCCGCATCCATCTTGACCTCCGTCCCGTCGCGCATGCGGGAGACGAGGATCTGGGTCGGCTCGTCGTCGTCACTGTCGTCACCGTCGTCGTCGTCGTCGTCGTTGCTGGGTGCTTCCGGTGGAGGAGGAGAGAGCGTGGCGCGCACGTCGGCGAGGGAGAGGGCGTCGAGGGCGCCGTGCTGGACGAGGCGCGTGTTGCGGGGGAGGAGGCGGGGGAGGTCCGGGGCGTAGTCGTGGCGGGGGGATTGGCCGATGGTTATGAGGGCGAGGGTGTGGGTGTGGGTTTGGCGGGGGGGAGGGGGAGGGGGAGGCATTTTTGGTGGTGGTGGTGGTGGTGGTTTTGGGGTGGAAGCAAGGAATAGAGTCGATGGTTTACTGCGGCGTGGCGCACGTCGGTGTAGGTAGGATTCGCCCAAGTATGTACCCAATCGTGTGCACGTCGTCAGCGCAGGCCTCGGGATCGGAGCTGCGATGCCGAAAGGAGCCTCGAAAGCGGAGATGGAGGCGCCTGGTCCGAGAAGTTCTGGCTTGTCATGTCTCTTTGCATCCAACTGATTGTTTTCAGCCAGCAAGAGTAGGATGGGCAGGAAGCAGGTGAGATAAGTGCCTTCTAAAGCTTTGTTGAATTTTGCGACTACATGGTCGATGAAATCTGATGACCACCGTCCGCCGTATTTTATGACCATTACAGGTGGACGGCATCGTACAAGAAGATGCACTTCGAATTCTTCAAAGCTTCGCGTGACCGCTTTCAATGATCCAGTGGTTTATCTTACTGCGTGCTCCTTACTAATTGGCCTTTTTGGATCGTTCTATTTTTTGATAAGCTTGTCCTGTTCGCATCACTCAGCAGCTCGGTCTTTTGATAATTCTGACCGTCCAGTTCAAACACTTGCGACTCAGGAAGTTCAGCTCGCGGTACGTTGTTGTATGTCTCATCTCCAGGTAACTCGGCTCCGAAGGCTCCTTGGATCGGTGGTGAGACTGCGGGTGGCTGTGCAGCTGACTGCCGCTTGAATGCGCGCCAACGCTTGCTTCTTCACAGCCAAAAGGCTGCTGCGCATACCAAGATACCAGCAGCAGCACCCAAAGCGATGCCGGCGATTGCTCTGGAGCTCAACGACAAAGACTTGGACAAGGGACCGGCGGTAGAAGACACCGACGCCATCGTAGAGCCCGACGTAGCTGCAGACGATGTTGATTCGGAGGTGAATGTGATGGTAGCAGAGTGGGGGAGGTCAAGAGTGGATCGAGGTCTTGAGTAGCGGCAGCGGAGACGTACGAAGGGGTGTCACGGTCAAAGTAGCGGCAGCGGAGACGTATGTACGAAGGGGTGTCGCGGTCAACCTTGGCGCCATTCTTGTAGCCGGAATAGCGACTGTTAGGCTGGTCTTCGTTTCCGATGCACGTTTCGTGGTCTGCAAGAAGGCACTGCCAGTACACTTCCTCCTTGTTTTTCGTGCAGTCATCACCGACGCCCCAGGCCTGTTCGCGGCGTCTGACCAGCAGATTCTGAACGGATTGGATCAAGTTCGGTTGGTTGCACTCACGACAGTTGAGAATCGGTATGGCGGCGCACAAGTTTCCTCCCTTGCTGTTCTTCGCGGTAGCGTTGCACCACTGTTTTCTCCCAGAAAAAATCCGACTGGGCCGTACAGAGGCCGTCAGGGAGGATGAGACATGTCGACAGAGAGCGAGCGAGGAAGAGGGTGAGCACCTGCACGATTCTGCAGGGCTGTATGGCTACGATGTATCTGTGGCATCCGAGTGTTTGTGCGGACGGCGAGGCGAGGGATTATCATTGCGGGTGTTTCGAGTCGCTGGCGGGTGCGTCATCGGTAGGCTATCTTATCGGTTCCGAGCTGCCCCTTCCGCTCCCCTTCCGGGGGTGCCGCTGCGTGCCTGTGTGCCTGCGTCTTGCCAGCACCAATGCCCAGCCTCCAACGCTGGGCTGTGGCACAACAAGCCCCACTTGCGGACGTCCAGGCCATACGGGAAAGGGGTCGGCGCTGAGCTGGAGCCCGCTGGTTGGCCGCTGGCTGGCCGCAACCCAGCGGCATGCCGACGCTCGCAGGCTGGCCGCCGCAGCTGCTGCAAACCCCGAATGCTGAGAGCCGCCGACGTCGTTCCGCCGTTGCGTTGCCGCTGCACGCCTTGCAACCCACGCCACTCGACCGCCTCTCGCCATGCTCGTCTCCGTCCGCCTGTGGCCTCGCTTGAGCCGCGAGCATGGCAGGCTGGCCGCCGACAAGCGAGCCCAGGGCGCAGCCCCTGCGCCGGCCCTTTCGATAGCGCCAGCCCCTGCAGCGGCTTGGCCAGGGCCTGGGAGCCTGTGGCCTGTGGCCTGCAGAATTCCAAGCATGCCCGGAGCCCGCAGCTGCCCGCCCGCACGGCAGGAGCTTGATGACGCCCAGCAGCAGCGGCACGGCGGTGCAAACGGAACACGCTTCTCCGGCGCTGGGCCGCAGGGCCGCCGCGAGATGAAAGCGGATGGCGCGCCGCAGATGAGGATGGCCAGCCCTTGCGACACCAGAACCCTGTCCCAAGTGCTGAGTTTAGCAGCGATCCGCCCCAGGCGATCAACCCGCGAAACACCCAACCTGCACTGATCAGGCCCGCTGCCTGCCCACTGCCACCGCCAGCGTGACCCCCCCGACCGCCCCCCGGCGCGTTTCACGCCCCAAAGCCCTCTTTCCCTCCGCCTCTCGTTCATTCACGACACCCATCCGTCGCTCCTTGCGCCTGCAACGCTTACCTTCTCCGTCGCTCTGGCAGCGGCGACGTCCAGGATCCCACAATGTTAACTACCTTCCACCGCATGCTGCTGGCCGCCGCGTTCTGCGTCTTCTTCACCATTTTCCTGCTCCGCTTCTCCCTGCAAGTCGAGGATGCCGTCCCCCAGCTGCCCACCACCCAGGACGAGCTGTTCCCCTACGACATCTACGAGAACCAGTCCGTCGCCATCCCGCTCTCCTCCTCCTTCGAGGAGACCCCCACTCCCGAGGGGTGGCGATTCCATCCCGCCCGCGACGCCCGCAACTACGGCCTCAACGAGGAGCAGTGCGACTGGACCTTCCCCAACCTCTGGATCGAGCTTGAGAACGCCGCCAGAGTCCGTCGCAACAAGGGCAATGTCACCAAGGAGGACCTGGACATCACCTGGCGCGATGACGCCATCACGCGATGCATGATCTACGACCACCAGGTGCGTGCCATTGCACACTACTCGCTCATGAAGCTCCGCTCTGACCGTGCTGCAGCTCTACATTCTCGAGACGAGGGGGACCACCCACCGCCGCGACTACCGCGAACGCACCCTCGCCGTCCTCCACAACATGCACCGTGCCATCACCTCCTACAACGGCCCGCTCCCCAACATTGAATTCGCCTTCTCCGTCGACGACTGGGTCTACAGCGACATCAAGCAGGATTACGATCACATCATCTGGGGCTTCACTCGCCAACCCGAGTGGCCGGATGTGTGGCTGATGCCTGATTTTGGGTACTGGTCGTGGCCCACGGATCCTGTCGGCGCTTACCAAGACGTACGGAATCAGATGGGCGTCCGTGAGAAGACGCAGGCTTTCAGCGAGAAGAAGCCCAAGGTCGTTTGGAGAGGAGCTGCTATGACGGATCAACGCAAGCAGCTGATCAAGCAATGGGGCCAGAAGTCATGGAGCGACATTGTGGCGCTGGACTGGAACGACCCGGACGTTGAAGAGAAATTCGTGATTATGCCGGATCACTGCCAATGGCAGTATGTGCTGCATACTGAAGGTTAGTTGCCGACTCACTACACTCGACTTTCAACCCAGACAGACTAACGTGTTCCTTTAGGGCGCTCCTACTCTGGCCGCCTCAAATATCTCCAAAACTGCCACAGCGTGCCCATCATCCCGCAGATGCACTGGATTGAGCCGCATCACAAACTCCTCATCGATCAAGGTCCGGCGATGAACTACATCCCGGTGAAATTCGACTTCTCAGACCTCGGCGAGAAGGTGGAGTACTACATGGATCACCCTGACGAAGCCGAGCGCATCGCCGACAACAGCGTCGCTATGTTCCGCGACAAGTATCTCACGCCCGCCGCCCAAGCTTGCTACTGGCGCAAGCTGTTCCGTATGTGGAGAGACGTTAGTTTCGAGCCGGAGCTCTCTGAAGATTATGGGAAGCCGCGCGGGATTCCGTTTGAGACTTATGCGTAAGTTTTGCCTTCCCAACCTTTCCCAGATGCATCCCAGCATCATGCTAGTCGAGGTTTCATTAGTCGAGAAGCTTCTGCTAATTTGTGCCATAGCCTGCTTGACATCTATGACTCGAACCCTTGGAGGGATACCGAGCCTGCGCCGACATCAAAGTAGAAGGACGGAACTCACAAACTTTGCTTCTCACAAATCGGCCACTGGAGGGTCAGCTTCGTTCCGCACAGCCTTACAACTATCGAATCGTCTCGCTCTTAGTTGGAGCCGGCTTCGCCATGCATCAAAACGCCTGGAGGCTGTCATCGAGTTTCGGAAATTATATTTCCTGGCCGGTCGACTACGGGTCCTAGAGGCCTTTTACTCGACATCATCTCTCACCGGTGGAACCAACACTACGAACTGCGAGCCCAACGAATCATTCGGGCGACCATGGCGTGTATTTTGATCTAAGTGTCGGTTGTTGGACTTGCCATGTTACTAGAAGGCAACTGGATGCATCAAGGCGTTTCTTCGTTCCACCGATTGGATCGTTTGCGTTTGATTTTTTTTTGTTTTATGTTTTCGCGGGTGTCTGCGGTTGATACCCTTTACTCGTCACTTGAGCAGACTCGCCATTGGCTATGTGGGCGAAGATTAGACGGACAAGCAGACCGGATTACGAAAATAGGCCACAGCCATGTATGTACAATCAAAGAAGATTATCGACCGGGGTGCGCATTCAACCATGGCGCAATTAGCTTGGATGGGGACGCACAGCATGGCCCTGGGGTTGAGTCGGGACAGACAATCGCTTGGGGTCAGGGTTTCGGGCATCGTCATCTTTAAGGTTCTCTAACTTATAATTCTTCGAGACGAGCAAGCTGTTTGGCCTGAGGTCTGACTGGTGGTGTCAGAAGTCTGAGACTATCCAGGTGCTTCAAGCGACGGAGATAAAAGAAAATCCAATATTAGAAATCATTAGTCGGAGCAAGTATCCGTCGAGTCAAGAAAAAGAAAAGACGGAAGATCAGAAGACGTTACCTACGACCGGCACTTTCCGTTCAAACAAGGTCACGGCGGCTATTCGTGTGTAGTCACGTCGAGTAGGTAGGGTGTTGGGGGCACGCAATAGGTCCCTGGGTTGCACGTCATGCACACAGGTCATGGAGAGATAACGGGACGACCTCTTCACCGCTAACATGTGCGAGAACTCTTTTCTACTTTCTTTTTCTAAACCCTACGTCCCTACCTACGTGCTTTGAAGTAATCGCTATGCCCTTCGTCGTATCCAGTCATGCAACCACTTTTGCAACTTCAACGATAAAGGAAAGAAAAAAACCATCTCTTCCATTACAATTCTCCTACCATTCGCCCTTCCCTCCACCCCCTCCTGCTCTCTCTCTCTCTCTCTCTATCTCTATCAACCACAACACCACCCCCAATCAATCCAACCACTCCCCCCTCTCCGCCCTCTCACAAACCTCCTTCAGCACCCCAGCCGCCCACTCAAAGTCCGCCACCTCCAAATACACCATGGCGCTCAACCGCGACCACCACCCCCCACCATACTCAATCAACGCCTGAAACCCGCCATACTCCCTCACCATCACCCCGGCCGCCCAATTCTTCACCCGCGCCAACACCTCCGCCTCAGCCAGGACGACATCCCCCCCACGCGCCTTCGCCCTCGCCTTGGCAACGTCCTCGCACTTGGCAAGCGACAGCGGCAGCCGGACGTTGGCAAAAAAGCAGGCGCCCATGGTGCGCGTCGCGTTATCCAACACCTCCGTCCCGAGGATCTTTGCCGCGCGCTGCCCCCCCTCGCGCGCGAGCCCCTCGCAGTAATGCCGGATGCCGGCCTCGCCGCCGAGGGAGGCGCGGTAGGCGAGGGCGGCGCCGACGCAGAGGAAGGGCGTGCAGTCGCCCGAGCCGGTGAAGGCGAAGTTGGCGACGAAGTCGGATTCGGAGACGCTTGGCGGGAGCGGGTTGATGTAGGGGTCGGTGCTGGTGGGGTCCGGGAGAGGGCGGAAGCCGTGGGAGGTGGGGAGGGTGGAGCGCATGAGGGGTTGGTTGCGGAGGGGGACGTGGAAGATGGCGCAGGCGCGGGGGGTGAGGAGCCATCTGGGAGGAGCGGGGGGAGGAAAGGTTAGTGGGTGGGTGGATAGGGGGGAGGGGAGGGGAGGGGATGGGACGGCGGCGGGGGGGTAAGAGGTGAGTGGCAATGGGGCAGATGTGGGGGAGACGGGGAGAGGGGGCAAGCTCACTTGTGGCAGTTGCTCACGAAGAAATCCGGATTCAGCTCGGTGAGGTTCAGGTCGACTTGGCCGACGCCGTGGGCGCCGTCGACGAGGCTCAGCACGCCCAGCTCGCGGCACGCCTCGGTCAGCCTTTCAAACGGCATCCTGACGCCGGGCATGGACACGACGGTGTCGAAGATGGCGACCTTGACGCGGCGGCCGGCCTTGGTCTCGGCGTCGACGACGTCGCGGAAGCGCTGCACCAGGTCGTCGTCCTCGACGGGGAACGTGTACTCGACCTTGGCGGCGCGGGCGGGCGTCGTCTCGCACACGTACTTGACCGTGTTCTCGCAGGCGCCGTAGATGGTGGCGAAGTAGACGATGACGTCGCCGTCGGCGAAGACGAGGTTGCGCAGCACCGTGTTGACGCCCGTCGTCGCGTTCGGCACGAAGACGAGCGTCTCGACCGGGGCGTGCAGGTAGTCGGCCATCAGCGCCCGCGACTTGCGCAGCTCCACCGGGTAGTCGTACCGGATGAACTGGTCCGGCCGCGCCTCGGCCAGCGACTGCCAGCGCCGCATCTCATCCTGCACGGGCTTGGGGTAGGTGCCGAAGGAGCCTGGGTGCCATTGGTTATCATCTCGAGTTGCCGGTTGCAGGAGGGAGAGAGTGCGGGGTTGAACGGTTGCGCAAACCGAGAATCGTGTGGAGTCTCACTGACCATGGTTGATGTTGATGTAGTCGTCGTCGAACAGAAAGTCCTTGCGCAGCTTGCGGCCGAATTGAGACGTGGTGATGGTGCTGTCGCCCATTGTGAAAGATTGACGGTTGCGGTGGAGGTTGATATCGCGGGGAGTCGGAGAACGCGAGGGGCAATTGAACGATGACGTAAAGCTTTCAACCTTGCAAAGAGAAGTGCAGTTGAAGCATTTGATTGTAACCACTTTCCAGAGAGCAACTGGAGAATATGTATGTTGGGTGATGACTGAGTCACTGGCACTACAGAGCCGGACTTGTCAATCTAGCGCGGAGTGAAGGGCGCGATAACGCTAGCAACCGACCCACGATAACATTTCAACATGCTGAGTCATAAGCAGGTCTGCACGAAGAGTCACCGTTTCTTTTTATAGCAACTACCTTATATTTTTTTTTTCAAGTAATCGGTCCTCCAACTACCCTAACACGCCGTCTCTACATTACAATCATGTATCAGAACTTCCAAGATCCACTAAAAGCCACCAAATCCGTCTCTTAACGCGGACATTAACTACATAGAAGCCAACTCTTGAGAAAACCGCCAGGGTATTCTTATTCTTTTGCAAGTGAAAAAAAAGGAGTCGCTCAGAACTCCCTGACAATGATCCTCGTAATAACCGCATTTTCGTCTAGATGCGGGGCGTGTACAACTCCTTATTCACGTTGACCCTCCGCCGGTACTGGTCCCTGAATCTTATTCTGCCCAAAGTGCCCCATCCAACAACGCCGAAGAAGGCGACGGCCCAAACGAGAGTGATAACCAGACCCGTAGGGAATAGCTGGTCAAAGGCCAGTGTCAGGCCAGGCACTTCCAACGGAGCCAAGCGGTAACCCGGGATGAGAAAAGACACGGCATTGGCGGCGTTGGAAGCAGAGGCGTCCGCACCGGATGTGGTGTCTGCAGCTTTGTTGGAGAAGACACCGTTGAGAAACGACGCCTGAGTGGCTGAGAGCTTAGTGGAGAGCGGAGACATGTCCTGGGGAGAACGCGCCGAGAGCTGGACTGTCGGCATGAGCAGGTCTTGCATTTCCGGACTGCAATCACATTAGTTCAGATCTCGAGTGGATTATGTTGGGGGTTTAACGTACGCCGACTGCGTGTTGTCCAAGGCGTTTTGGTCGACCTGTCCAACATACATGAGCACCTTGATCGCCCGCGGACCGTTGGAATCGGACTGGCGACTGGCAAGTGTGCTCCCCTCCCTAGCTTCAATCTCGCGCAACTTGATTGGCGGCGATGCCAAGGTCGAATCCAGGTCTCTTTTCGACGGGGAGTCTGAGCTGTTGGAAGCTTGCACCGTGGCGCTCGTGTAAGACAGTGTCATGCTGATGTCTGCGGCCGTCACACCCGTCCACGGGTCGAAGGGTGGTGTCATGTTGTACATGCGGAGCTCTGCCTGGAAAACGCCCGTCTGGTTGTTGAAGAAGGGGATGTTGTAGCAGACAGCCAGCCCGCTCGGATTGTCCGGCTTCGAGGCCAGCCGGGCCATGGCACCGTCGCATGATGCCTTGGTTTGCGAGTTCCATTCGTCCGAGTCGACAGTGCCGTTGGCGGCCGGCGTTGTCGTGACGCTGCTTGGGTCCGATGTTGCGTCATCCTGGCGGGCCTCGAGGTGGTTGAAGAGGTCGTGGGCCTGCCTCATCATCGTATCCTCGTAGCTGTGCGCGCGACGATGGAGCGCATGAAGAAAATGGCCTCCGATACTCTTTGCAGCGACATCAGCGGCTTGTCCGATTACTAGAAGGCCAGCGACGAGGCCCGAGGAAAGTCGCATGTTGAACTGTCCAGCAGCCTGACTGGATTGAATTACGTGGCGGGCGGAGAAAAGAGCGTGGCCGTGGTGTAGGTATTACAAGGGACGAGAAAACAACGAAAGGCTGTCCAGCAGCTTACCCGGGTGGCGGCAGAAGAGAAGGAGCGGTGGCGAGGATGTTAGGATGGAGAAGGAGCCAAGAAGAAGCCGCATGAGCGCATGAGAGCATGACAATGACAGGATGCGACGGCCAGGCGGGATCAAACTGTGGTGAGAGGAACTCAAGACACAGGAGCCATCATGGCGTGACAGGCGCCGTCGAGGTGTCTTGGTGGAGGAGCGGTTGACACTCGAGCTGCGACGCGGTGCGGACGAGATGTCGATGGCAGGGGGCGCGGCGCTGATCCAATTAAGCTTCGGCCTGTGCCGGGCAGCGGCCTTGTCGATTTGCGGGCCTTATCTGGCCCAAATTAGACACAGGCCAGTCGATGTGGAGGAGCAGGGCGGCACCGAAGCGCTGGCTGCGACAGCTGGGGCTCGGCTGCGGCGCGGGCCAATCAGCGCGGGCAGGCGGGGCGGCGGCCGGGGCGTGTGAGCGGCGCCAACGAGCTTCAGCACTGTCGCAACCCTGCGCCCAAGGCCGTGCAAGCCGCTGGGTGGCGGCGGGCGGCGGGCGGATGCCAGGCCAGCGGCTGCGGCTCAACGACGGCCTCGTGGCGCCGCCAGCGCCCGCGTGCCTGGCGTGGGGTGGAGGTAAGCGGTGGACTGCGCGCAGCATCTGAGCATCTGAGCGCCATCTGGATCCCCCACCCCTGCGACGCCCTGCGCGCGCCCGCAGAGCCCTCGGTCGGCCGCACGCCGCACTACACCCTCCCGCCGCGTCGATGCTGCATCTCGCCGCCGCTCCTCCACCCACAGCGCGCTGCGATGCACAGCGCTGCACCGCGGACGCATGGCATCAGCTGAGGGCGGCGCGGCGCTCGTTTGCGAGGTGTCGCTGCCCGGCGGCGAGTTCGCGTGAGACACGTAACAGTGCATGTCGGGTCGCAAGTCGTGCCCGTCGCGTCCTCGCCCAACTCGCCAACCTCACAGCCCAAGCACCGTTGCAGACGGCGGCTGCCAGCGCATCGCCCCGGCCAGGCGCAATCAGCGCCCCAGGGCACGACACCCCGGGACTACATCTTCACCACCCCGACTCCTCACGCGCGCCCTCGCCTCCCTCTCTCCCGTCATGTCCTTGGCCTCCGTTGCACCCGCCGTGTAAACCGGCGTCTAGGTGACTTGTCCTCCCAGACCCTCTTCCTGGCCCGTCCGGTCGTGTCTCCGCCTCTCCGCCTACTAGCCTCGCTTCACGCCCCGCCACAGCAATGCAGGCTTCACCGTTCCTCGCGGGCTGGTCCGCCCCCGCGCCCGCCTCTGCATCCAAGCACCCGTTTCTGCATCAGACAATGTCCGTCTCGAATTTCCGCGACGACCGCCCGTGGGACTGGCCCGCACGCTCGCCTCCCTCGCCGAGTGCTTCGTCCTCGACGTCGTCGGCCAGCCGCAGCATGACCCCCACCAGCAAGAACCCATGGGCCAGCAGCGTCAGCGTCGTCTCGCCCGACAGCGCGAGCTCCTGTGGCTCCCCGCCACGCATCCTGCCATGCCCGACCCCGCCGTCCTTGAGCTGCAACGTCACCCCCACCACCAGCCGCTGCGCCACTCCGGTTGCCCCTCAGCCGCTAAGCGGGGCCAAGCCGTCCTTCATCACCATGGGCTCGCCCGCTCCCAGTTCTCCAACCGACGACGCAAGACAGCAGCAGAAGAAGTCTTCGGACCTGGTGCCCATGCCTACGCCTACCCCCAACCCTTTCCGGGAAAGCATCGGCCAGGGTGTCAGTCTTGCTCCTCTCTTCAACGCCACCATCACCCCGGCGTTGGAGAAGCAGTATGTTCACCGGGAGTCACCCACGCTCATAAGCCGCCAGGGCTGGGAGCGAACCACTGGTCAACGGGCCTACACGTGGGCCTTGGGCAATTCCAGGACTGCTCTGCTGTTCTTGATGTGCGATGACATCGCCGCTTGGAGACGTGCTAGCTTCTACTGGCTGGAGGACTCCAAACTTCCATTTCAGGAGGCAGATCTCGAGGGCATCGCTACTAATCCAAAGAAGGTCGTGGAGAACCAGTGGCGCGTCTTGACCCGAGAACTTCCGCAGAACGGCCAGCATACGGACTACCACCCGCGTGACTTTGTTCCTCTGAAGCAAGTCAGTGTCATAACCCACCTCGGATCGGAGAAGAAGGCTGTAGACAAGGTGCGCTGGATGGGCGACGACAACGGCCGTGTCTATGTCCGGAAGTGTTTCACATTTGAACGCCACGCCGAGAAGCTTGGTCTACTCAGCCAGATCCAGAAGCTCAAGACACTGGAGCACCCGAACGTCGCCAAGGTTGTGTGCTCGTACGCTCAGGGCGCCACGGTTGGCTTGGTGACGATGCCAGCACAGCTCGCGCTGGATGAATACCTGCGCCATCCGATGGCGGGAGCCCGGCCTGGCCTTCTTCTGGCGTGGATCAATGATCTCACACAGGCGCTCGCTTACATCAACAACATGGACATGATGCATCAAGCAATTCGACCCAACAAGATCCTGTTGGACGGGCCAAGGATCCTGTTCTCTGCGTTCGGCATTTCGACCGACGGTCTGAGCATCTCGCCCCGTGGCTCGCCACGCAGCTACCCGCCTCTTCCCAACAACAACAGCATGAGGCCTCTGAGCGAGGCGGCATACATCTATGCCGCTCCCGAAGTTGCGGCGCGCCAAGGCCAAGGCCATCGCTACCGTACATCTGCCGACATTTTCAGCTTGGGTTGTGTCTTTTTGGAGATGTTGACTGTTGCGAAGGGCCAGACGGTGTCCAATCTCCGTGGCTATCGCTCACAGTTCAGTCGCGATCAGTCATTCCACGCGAACCTCGATCGGGTCACGTCCTGGCGCAAGCTTCTTTCCGGGCTCAGCAGCGGCCATCGTGAGAGCCGTACCAACTCTGGCATCAACAACGGCACCCAAGCCCTCAAAGGTGCTGCTCCCATCAGCACGGTGGAGAGTCGGAAAGAGGATGAAGCAGCAGAGTATCAAATGTTGGAGTGGGTCGGCGTCATGATGAACGCCGAGAGCGCCAAACGACCCAAGATTCGCCGGTTAGCTGCGGCTATGAAGCGACTGGATGAGACACGAACAGTGCGCAGGAGGCGCAGCTTCGATGCCGGCGACGCCGCCCACGTCCCTCCCACTGCTCCCACTCCAATTGCGGCGTCTCTTGTGCCGCCTGGAGGTGCCACTTTGGACAGCATTCGAAGGCGTTGGGGCTCGATGGCGGAGAAGGGGCCTGTCACCGAGGGTAACCTGATTAGCTACTGAGGCGTAGCTGATGCGCTCTCCGGCCGGGCTCCTTCATCCCCATTGCGTATTCTATTCGTGTTCCAATTTTTTACTAAGCTACAGATTCTCACAGCAAACTTTCGCGATTTCACGACACAAAATCCGCATGAAGCAACACACTTTGTTCACTTTCTCCATCTACTTTGACGTATATCACGACCTAGCATGCGGCATGTAGCGCGGCATTTCTAGCATAGGCACTTCCTTTAGATTAACCTGGGTCGGCCCATCTGTTTGATACCCCTGCTGGTTTTCTTTTTACATTCTTCGTTGGCAGCACACATTTCCATTCCTTGAGCAGGGGTCCATTTCCGTCATAATCACACTATTGTTGCGATGGTCTGGATGCTGGAAAGAGGCGGTACGTGGCGATGGGCATGATTTGAAGTCATCCACCGGGTCTCTCGCTGGGTAAACCATGGGAGAGGTACGGCAAGGATGATTCTTTTGGGTGACCGCGATTCTCTTATCTCTGGTCATAACGAGAATCAGATCCGTGCGTTACTGCAGATTTCGATTGGAAATATCGTATCAGCAGTGTCCATCGATCGGTGCGGCTTGGCAGGGATTTTTTTCTCCTGTTTTTCCTTTCTTTTGCCCGCTTGGTGAGCGGTGCTTCCTCACCCTGTCCGTCTCGGTCGAGTAATTCTCAGACGGAACATCACGAACGATCTCATTTCCAAAACGTCCGCTCAGTGCCGATTGACACGGGGACGCCGGACTACCTACCATACACGAACTGGCTTATTCTTTCTTCTCCCAGTAGATCCATGCCGGCCTGGCCGGCGGGCTTCGGATTTCCAATGACACACGGGCAACATGTGGATGGTCACATCTCGGCATCGTCCTGCTTCTTTCTTTTTTTTTCCCCCTCCCCCATATCTGAAACGGTTGTGAGGGATGAGGCGGTCGGAGCTTGAGCCCTTTTTCCCCCTCATCACTCGATGGGTATGTGCACCAATAACAGCGAGTTTTATGCTCTCTTCGGGACTGAGAGATTCCGGGGACTGGTCACTGGACCGCTTACATAGTAGAAGGGATCTTCCTCCCCCCTCGCTATCGATATTATACCTAGTAGAGCGAAAATAAGGTGAAACCCGGAGTGTGTAAGATCGGCTTTTTGTCCCCACTTCGATATGCTTAGCATAACGTCCCGTGATGGTTGATCCTGTCATGCTCGCATGTAAGGAGATGGG